GAATTTCATGTTCAGCTTCCACATTTAATAATCATCATCAATAACAATATCATATTGAAATTGAAGCCCAAGAGAAGCAAACAAGCAATTCTGTTCCTCTTGGACATTTGGAACCTTGAATGGAAATCCCCAAGGGAGGCATGATGGAATGTCCTAGAAGAGTAACAGTCTGTTGGTACAATGTGTTTTCTGTCAAGAGCAGCTAAAGTTCGACACCTTTTGGTGCAAAGACCATAGTAAGCAAATTCAGACTGTTCCATCGTTACACTAGTCACAACTATTCATATCTAATCATGTCTTCAAAAACAGTGTGTTTTTGTTTAATTTGCCTGAAGGTCTGCCATTTGAAATCCTAATGTCAAACCAGTCGGTATTTAGGTTCCTATGCAGCTCCATTCCTACAACCACATTTGGGAACCTGATGGTTGGAGCATGCAATCCACTAGAAGTGTATGAGTATAGTCATGTATATGCATTGAACACCTGTAGATCACACCAAGCCCCAAAAATGCCACGCACCAGACAAAAAAAAGAACTATGCATATAGTCATCCAACTCATTTGTGAAAATAAGAATATGAAAAAAATCTAGACTGGAATTATTCCTGATGAATTCTCACAACTTTGAAAATGAAAGGGAGGTGTATGTATGTATTTGCCAGCTACGGGACAGATTTTTGTTTAACCCTTTTCTTGGAACGGATACGAATTCAATTGCCAAGGCCTGGAATGCCAAGTCTTGGAATTGAAGCTGATGTCTTAATTCAATTGCCAAGGCCTGGAACGCCAAGTCTTGGAATTGAATTTGATGTCTTAATTCAATTGCCAAGGCCTGGAACGCCAAGTCTTGGAATTGAATTTGATGTCTTAATTCAATTGCCAAGGCCTGGAATGCCAAGTCTTGGAATTGAAGCCTATTATTTTAGGGGTTATGATGCCCTTGTTCAGGGCTAGTCCCTTGTTCAGGGACGTTATCCCCACCATCCCCAGCTGAAGGCTGCTGCAACGGCATCACCTGTCCAGGAAACCTGCAGGTACAAATTAATGGTATCATATTTATGTTCATGACATGTGTGCATGGTGGTATCACAAGTGGGTGACAACTGGGGGACACTGGATGGTATATTATGATTTGTGATGGTGACATACGTGCATGACTCTTGGTGACACTATATTGGTATCATATGTGCATGTCCATTGATTAAGTATATATATATATATAAATACATTTATGTATTTATTTATATGTTCATGATACTTGATGGTCATTGGCAGTGTGTCTGTGTATGTGTATGTGCGTGTGTTTGGCTCATAATCATGATACTTGTTGTTTGAATTACAGCATGTTTTTTTGTTCTGACCTGCCCCCACCCCTTCAGGTTTCAATTTAAGCATGACAACTGTGTGTATGTGTGTGTGCGTTTGGTTCAGTAATCATGATACTTGCTGTTTGAATTACAGCATGTTTTTTGTTCTGACCTGCCCCCACCTCTCCAGGTTTCAATTTTAGCATGAAAACTTATCCCTAGAAAATGAAAAGAAACATGTTGGAAAACCATCCCCAAATTGAAAAGCAAAAAACAACTGCATTGTTTCACCCAAAATGAAACTATCATTTTCAAAAACCAAACTATCACAATCAAAGAACAGAGGTTTACATGATATGGCTCTTGTATGCAAAAATAGGGCATACCAGATAGCCCCAAGTTATGGTAATTTTCACAGAGAAAATGAGGATGAATCGGAACTGCTTGGATTTATATAGGGAGTTTCCGCAATGTTCAGACAGTCTGAAGGCTGCCAGAATCTCAATGGCCCTGAAAACTTGACCCATATCACTACTGGTTGGTGGTTTGGAACATGAATTTTATGACTTTCCACATATTGGGAATTTCATGATCGCAACTGACGAACTCATATTCTTCAGAGGGGTAGGGCTCAACCACCAACCAGCTGACTATTCTATTCTTTGCATGTTGTGCCATGTCATTTCTTTTCCAAATCTGAATTTTCCTAGATGCTTGATATCAAAGTGGCTTTGCCCAGTGGACACTGTGAAGATTTGTCAGTTCCAGAGTCCTCCAAAGTTGGGGACCTCAGAACTTTGGCGCAGAAGTCCTTCGGCCAAGGAATCCTCAGATTGATCGTTGATGGCCGTATCCTCACTGATGAGGAGCCACTGCCAGCAGCCAATGAGCTGACAGCGATTGCGCTAGAAGCCAAGGTGGCTGGAACAGCAAGAGCCTTCGCCTTGTGTGGAGGCGACCAACTCCTCACTTGGGGCTATCCAGCATATGGTGGCGACTCCTCTGCAGTGCAGCAGCAGCTCAAACATGTGCAGCAGATTGAGGCCGCTGCTACTGCATTTGCTGCCATCCTTGCAGATGGATCGGTGGTCACCTGGGGCCATCCAGATAGTGGTGGCGATAGCTCGGCAGTCCAAGATCAGCTGAAAAATGTGGAACAGATTCAGGCAACAGACAGCGCGTTTGCTGCGATCCTAGCGGATGGCTCTGTCGTTACATGGGGCGATCAAAGTCAGGGTGGTGACAGCTCTGCAGTGCTAGGTCAGCTAAAGGAAGTTGTGAAAGTTCATGCCTCAAGTTATGCATTTGCTGCAATCCTAGCAGAGGGATCACTTGTGACCTGGGGCGTTCAAGACTCTGGAGGTGACAGCTCAGCAGTCCGAGATCAAGTTCGGAGTCCGCAGCAGGTTCAGTCCACAGAAAGCGCATTTGCTGCCAAACTGGCGGATGGCTCGGTTGTTACCTGGGGCAATGTGAGTTTTGGGGGTGACAGCTCCGCCGTCCAAGATCAGCTCTGCAGTGTGCAGCAGCTTGAAGCCACGGATTTTGCATTTGCTGCGATCGTAGCGGATGGTTCAGTGGTGACATGGGGAGTGCCAGACTTGGGTGGGGACAGCTCTGCAGTCCAAGATCAGCTAAAGGGGGTGCAGAAGCTTCAGGCCACAAATGGCGCATTTGCTGCGATCTTGTCCAATGGATCAGTTGTGACTTGGGGAAGTCCAGACGAAGGGGGTGACACTTCAGAGGTCCAAGATCAGCTCCAAAATGTCGAGGAAATCCAATCCACTGGCCGTGCATTTGCCGCCATCCTAGCGGATCGATCAGTTGTTACCTGGGGGAGTCCGACAGATGGCGGAGACAGCTCTGCAGTCCATGATCAGCTGAGGAATGTGTTGAAAGTTGCAGCCACAGCGCGAGCCTTCGCCGCCATCCTTGCAGATGGATCGCTGGTTACCTGGGGCCATCCGGGAAGTGGTGGCGATAGCTCTGGCATCCAGGACTTGCTCAGGAACTTGTAGCGGAACTGGCGGGTTCAACATTCCATCCCCAAAAATGGGATGATGCCAACTAATGAGAAATTTTGGGGATGGCTCAACCCCCGACTACTTATGGCATTTCTTTGGAACAGCCATGTCTCCACTGAAGCTGCTCCAACATAGAGCAATCTACCGACCCAGAAGAGCGACAAAGTTGAATGGAAAAAGAACGTTTCCTTACTGGTGCTTAGTATGGAATGAGGGAGTGATCCACAATAACTATCAATCATAATCCCATTGCCCCATTCCCATCCGTTCCCTACTAAGCACCAGTAAGTTTATAGCCTTGTCCATTTAATGCGGCCATATACCTCGACAACAGCTATTGAGGTGAATCCCGGCGTATTACCCTCATTCAAACGTGACTTGCTGGAAACACCACCATTTACAGATGATTTTCCCATTCAAACCACCATTTTTAGGGTTTCCCATTGCCACGTTTGACTACCAAAGGGTAATGTTCTGTCCGAGACTGGTGGATTCTCCCCAATCAAATTTCCTGGTTGTTTCTGGTGAAGTAGCGTTTGTTTATTGCTTCTATATTCATATAGGAGAAATACAACGGTAATCCCTTCCTCCTAATACTAAACCCCCCCTAATAATAAACACGGCAGGTAGTTTTTCTAGTATTGGGGTGGTATTTAGTATTAGGGAACCCTAATACTAAATTAAAACCCTTATTTAAAAAAAAAACTAGTTTTTCCGATCTCAAAATCAATTAAATTACTTTATATAACGCAATTAAAATATTGCCAAAAATTGGATTTCGAAGCTTCCCTCTAATATTAAATTAAAACCCTTAATAAAAAAAAAACTATTTAACTATTTTTTCCGATCTCAAAATCAATTGAAATTCTTTATATAACGCAATTAAAATATTGCCAAAAATTGGATTTCGAAGCTTCCCCCCAATACTAAATCAAAACCCTTAATAAAAAAGACTATTTTTCCGACTTCAAAATCAATTAAATTTCCTTCTATAACGCAATTAAAATATTGCCAAAAATTGGACTTCGAAGCTTCTCCCTAATACTAAACACCCCGGGGTTGACTAGTTTTTAGTAAGGGGGAAAGCCCACAAATGCTTCATTTTTAAATTGTTTTCCAAAGGGGATCAATTAAAAGTCAAATTGGCCAAACTGAAATTTTCCGAAACTGGAGATGGACGCCTGTTTTTAGTATTAGGGGAACGTTTAGTATTAGGAGGAAGGGATTATAAACATTGAAACATGTTGATACGTGTACACATATTCCTTTAATAATACATACATATCATACACACACGTACATATAAACATATATATAATATATATATATATACGGGTAGATTATAACGACCTCACTGTTCTCCCTCACTGGAAATCATGGTTAATAAGGAACCATCCCCAAATGGCCGAACTATTCAGGCTAGTGAAGTATTGTAATTTACCCAGATATGTGATATACATATATCGTATGCATATACCCACCTGATATTACACTTTACCCAGATATATTATATGATATACATACATATAAACATATTTATATATACATATACATATACATTTACATATACATACACATATACATACACATATACATATATATATATATACATATACATATATTTACAATCCGATACATCTGTAATTTACGTGTTCTCTCCTTCCGTCGCCAGGAACACGAGATCCTGATTTTGTCCACGCCACCCAACCAGGGTGCCACGCTGAACATCAGCGGAGTGATGGGTGCCTTGTTGGATGCGCCAATGGGACCGTTGACTGGGCAATGACAGGGGTGAAAGTTATGGGTTAGTGGGGAAATCATGGATTAATATGGATAAAATATGGATAAATAATCGCAAAATGGTGGTTAATAATAGATTAATATGGATAAACATGTGGATAAATAGTGGTAAATTTTATGGAAATTTAATAGACATTATTTAATGAACAATTAATGGTTATAAATAGATATAAATTGCTATAAGACCTTGTAAAAGCTTAAGGGCCTTAAGGACACTTAGGGGGTGCAGGACCGTGCCAAAACTGAAGGGTAGAACTATGGTTTAACATTGGTTCATAGTTGGTATAGCTATGGTTATTAATGATGCTATTAATATAGCTATGGTTAACTATCGTGAATGGGTTAATTCCATTTGCTACACTTCAATCCCCCATACACACCATAGTTCGTCAAGTTCTGTGCGTCAACTTGGCTATGGAACATGATGGCATAATTAGGGACGTTTGAAATAGGTTAAAGCCAATGATCGATGGACAATTCTGGGATCATTAGGTAAACATACTGGGAAATGATGGGATGTGATATGGGAAATTATGAGATATGACATTTAAGCATCGGGAATATCATTGAAAAATCCTAATGATAAATAGGAAATTATGGGATTATTCTGCACACATGCTGAGTTTTCAGGGAAAATGATAGGATCAATGGGTTTCATGGGGAAATATTTATATATATATATATATATTGGATTATATTGGTATATATTACATATACATATATAGCCATGTTTTTTTGGCGAATTGAATGGGGAACTACTTGGAGGATCATCCCACCAATCGGTTTGGCGCTTTGTACCACCTGCTCATCGGATACCATCACCTCACTACGTCACTGGATTGATGGGAATTGTACGGGAAATAAATTCTCAAAGACCTTATCAATTGCCATTTCAGGAACCGATTGATGGGAGGTACCTACCATATATAAGGCCTATGTAAGGGCTATGTAAGGGGATATACCCCCAAAATATGGCCTGGAAAATGGTACTAACGTACCTCCATTTTAGGATCCTGGAATTCCCATTGACCTTATTTCAACTATATATGTTCAGGTTAGTGAAGATATATCGCCAGAAATTACAGTGCTTAATGGGTTTGAGAGGGCTCAATGAAACTAATTACTAGGCTTGAATGGGATGAAGCAAGGGATGCGTGTGATGGGTCAAAGCTGAAGATCAATGAAATGATGGAACAATTCTTGGCGGACGCTGGGAAATTATCGAATGTGATATGGCATGGTAAATTATGAGATATACTGCGGAATACTGGAAAAAGCACAATATAGGATGGGAAATCGGGGAAATCAAAGGATATGGGATGGGAAATATATACGTGTATCTGATTTGGGTATATCCCTATATATCACTGGTATAGAATATGGTTCCTATTCCATGGGAAAAGATGGGATATAGGATGGGAAATCGGGGTAATCAAAGGATATGGGATGGGAAATATATACGTGTATCTGATTTGGGTATATCCCTATATATCACTGGTATAGAATATGGTTCCTATTCCATTGAATACATGGGTCTGTATCCATACCTAGTAGGTTCTATGCCAACTTATTCGGTTTTGTTTTCGCCATGATTACACATTTCTTCGCCCCATGGTTACACTCCAAAAGTCTTCCCGGGCATGAGCCAAGGAATCCAAGGGTGAATGGCTTGGCAGATCCATTCATTTAGTCGTTGGTGCGGTTCCAAGAAGAAGTTAAGTGGGTAATAAACCCATAGTTGTAAGGGTTACCCTCTGGTTATGTCAAAATAGTTACTGAACATGGCCCATTTATAGGTGATTTACCCACTAAAGATTGTGATTTTCCATAGCTATGTTAGTTTACCAGAGGGTATATCCCAACTTATGGAGGTTTAAATCCATGAGCTATACCCATCAATCACCACAACTGCACCAAGTCCACAACTTCCCAGCATAATCCTGGCCGAGAGGAAGTATCAGATGGATCTGTCTGAAATTGCGATGTCCCTCCAATGGTTAGCTTAACATGAAAATCATGGGATAGATAATCAATCATCATCGATAATGGGTGTGTTTGAGAATAGGGCATGCCGTATGCCCAAATTGATGGCACTTTGATGCAATTTGAATAGGGAAAATTATGATACACCATCATTTTTCTGGTTTGACCAACATTTTTCAGACAGAGCCAGATAAGATGATGGCATGCAGTTTCATCCTTTTTTTCTTGTTTGCCAGATGGGGAATTGTTTGGGAATAATCCCGCCTCCCTAATGTGTTTTATAAAGGATCACGGATAGGGTTGCTGTCGCACTCGAAAGCCTCAATGCCAAGTGCAATCGATTATTCCCACTCCGGAGGCTCTACACCGTTTGGCAAGGAGGCTAGATCTGATTGGGATTTACTCGAAGATGTTCGGAAGAGACACTATTGACTTTGCGGAGCCCCAGGGCGAGGCCCTGCAGTTTACCCATGTGCAGGGCCATGCAGGGCACACGACTCCAACCAAAAGCGAAAGTGAGAAGCGGGAAACCAACCAGGAGATGATCGATGTGGTGTTGGAATCGGATGATGAATTTGCATCTCAGCTTGAATGCTAGCTCTCAAGAAAAAGGATTTTCATTGTTGAGAAGACAGCCGCCTTTCGGCCGCGAACTGATTCCTCATTGGAAGCACTACAACCACAGCAGGGAATTCACAAACAATATTGCCACTAGGTAAACCAAATGGATAGATAGTTGAGAAATTATGGGAATAATGGGAATATACTATATAGTAATGGGAATACAGTATAATGGCCATATTAATGATTCCATCAATGGGAATAATTATCTACTTCGAGCTACCATCCTTGGCCATGGGAATATACCTTTGGTAACCGCGAAGAAGATACCAAAGTTCGTGTGAAACCAGGTAGCTCGATGATATTCACTGTTTCCAGGCAAACCCTCTATCTATTGACTTGGTGTTGCTACAACCAACACAAAACTGGTTGGTGGTTTCAATCATTTTTTATTTTCCGCAATATATGGTATGTCATTCTTCCCATTGACTAATATTTTTTAAGATGGTTAAAACCACCAACCAGAAAACCTATGGCAAGTTGCAGGATATTTTTTGCTGCGCCGCGCCAACGGATACTGCAAGGCTCTCAGATGTTGGTGGCCTACTTATATCGACACCTGGCGACTCGGCGATCTGTGTTGAACTGACTTGGGGGTTTCCATAGTCATTGGGGTACCCCAATAGCTGGATGGTTTACAAGGGAAAATCCGAAAAAATAACATGGATTATGTAGGGGTACCCCCATTTCAGGAAACCTCCAATTGGGTAAATCTTGATCTTTTGTTGGTGAATGGTTTTTATGTGCTGGATACCCTTGTGGTGTTGTTTAATGGCAGTTTTTCATAAATGCGGCAGAGTATGATATCCAGCTATGTTCTTGTGGCTGGGTATGTAAGAATTTGCTATGTTTTTTGTGCCCTACCAAGCAGTTTGTTCAAGGGAAAGTGAGCAGCCACCAGGGAGGATCGATAACGGTGCCTACCAGTTGGCAACTCAATATGTATCTTATTGGAGTAATAAGCTGTATGGGGTATTCCACGGTGAACCACATACCAACTGGGACATCCTGTTTTGTGGCGAAAAGCCGACATGATCAGTTGGCTGAAAATGATTGATCCCTATTTTGGGAATGGGAGGGGAGCATCGAAGTATTCATTTTCAAGGAATGAATATCTGGAAACAGATCAGTTCCTTGATGATTTTTCTAAGTCGAGAAGGCGTATAGTTTCGCTCTCACTCTTTACAAAGCCTAGAGAAATTTGAAGGAATCTATGATGACAGTGCAGTTGACACCCTCCCGCGGTGGTCGGCTACAGGTCTATTCTATTTGCTGGTGTGCTCGCAATTGCACCTCGCTTGAAATGTGTCGCCAGGGTGACGTCAGTGGTTCCTTTAATTCCTATGCACTGGTCTGACAGGTCCAGTGAATGATGAAGGTAAATTGTGATAAGTTTGACTAACAAGTTTTTATCTTGACATGTTGCTTCCTTGGGGGTATCCCAACTTATTTCACATGACACATCATGTGACGGGGCGATTAATCTCAAAATATCCCAGAGAAAAAAAGCTGGATCAGACCTATATCCCTTTTGGTACAAGATGCGGCCCCCTGGATATGTAAGTCTGTGTGCAACTTGGTTGACAAGGGCTCACGGGGGATAAGATATAACATGAGATAATAGTATAGATATATCTACCATAAACCAAAGTGAAATATTACAACGTGGTGCCCCCCCCCAGTGATGTTTGTTGGTTTATAAACCATAGATAACCATAGTAAGTATAGATATATCTACCTAATCAACCAGAGTGAAATTGGAGTTGGCACCAACTTAGCTAAGTATGGGGCACCACCTTGTATGTGTATTATGTATGTCTATACATTTGGGCACATAGCTGATCTAGTTGCTGATCCGTATGGGTTTGTTCAAAGAGGATCACCCAGCTTCCGACCAATCCGACACGCTGAAATGGTTACCCTCCAGTAAATTAACATACTGCCAGATAGTAGTTGGAAGATGAGTTTCCATTAAAAATTGGCGATGCTCACGGTCTATGTTAATTTACCAGAGGCAATTTGTATTAATTTATAGTATTACAGGGTTGTTTTCCTTGGTTGTCAATATGTCACCCCTTGAATATAGAAACTTCTGAATACGGTATCTCCCAAATTATGAAGCTATCAACCCCTTAGGGAACCCCTGCTGTTGCTGACCAAATCGCCCCATGATAGTCCATGTTTTATCTATCGGCTATCACTAAATACCTATCATCCCATAATCGAAGGAAGTTTAGAAGTCAAACTTCCGACAATATGGACAGATGAAAAGTAGAGATGGGCAGAGGCAGAGAGAAGAGAAGAGTAGAAGAGAGAAGAAGAGAAGAAGAGAAGAGAAAGAGTCAGAAGAAAGAAGATGCAGATGCGCGAAAAGGTAGGAAAGTCGCGAAACTCTGTGTTTTTCCATTGATTTGTGGCTCCGGAGGGTCGAAAAGTAGGCTCGCTAAAGCGGCCTGCCGTCCAGACGCGAGGCTTAATCCGAGATGCAATCCCTTGGTGCCGTTGCTCTCAGTGAAATAAAATCATCATAATCCCATTCCAAACCGTCATTATTATTGATAATGGTGCCTAATCCCATTCTAGCCCATGATCATATTCTATGAATAGACTATTCATGTTATATATATATATGTGTGTGTGTTACATAATGGAATAATAATGCCGTACCGTATCATTTACTATAATATCATATCCATAAGAGTTATCCCATCATACTGGTAGCTATGTTTCATCATAATCCTATCAGAATCCCATTCGTAATTACAATAAAATGTAATATAAGGTAGAATAGTACATTATAATTGATATAGCATAATACAATATGATAGAATACAATACATATAAAACAATATTATATTACCCCATTAAAATCCCATTGCAATACATGGCATCTTGATATAGAAATATCATATGTGTGTAACACATCATACCCTATGATAGTTCAGGAAAAAACATAGTTGAACATATACGATGACAACCAATGTTATCTGAATTTCGAAATTGTATGTGTATATATATATATACGCATGTAAATGTTGACCATGATTGTATCTATAATGATCTATGTCATTCTAATCAACAATTAGCCCTTGTAACTATCTTATCTTGATATATATATATATTGTGCAATCATAACAATTATTTTCCCATCAAAATCCCATTCTAATCCATGATCCCTATTTACTATATCATATGATATACTATGATACCATATGGCCCCAATTCAGATAACCCCATTCGAATCTGTCTTAACTATCTCAATATATCTATATAATTATATATAATATATACTGAGTATTAATATAGATATGTACTAGTAGCATGTCATTTTGACATAGATCCATTAATAAGCCCAGTGACCCACATGAGCATCAGCCGCGCCGTGGTGAGGCTTCAAAGACGGCGTCTCCGAAATCGACGAAGAGGCCTTCTCCGCCAACGTCGGCGAGTTCTTCCCACGGGGCCCCGACACCGAGGGCTTCACCCCGCAGTACGTGGTGGCTGGGGTGGCGTGGTGAAGCTATGTCGGTGGGAATTTTTGGGGATGGTAAGTGGGGAAGAACGAAGTGGAAAATCGTGATTTTATGCGATTCTACAGGGATTTGAAAAGAGTTTACGGTGATTTTATGGGATTGTAATGGGAATTAAGATGGGATTTGATGAGAATTTCATGGGATTTATGAGAATCTCATGGGATTTTCGTGGGGAAAGAAATGGAAATAGTGATTTACCCTCCAGCAAGCATGGCCCCATTGGAGGTCGCACCTCGTACCGATTTGGCGTTACCTCTTTGGGTTCGGCGAACATCAGACGGGATGAACGCCACAATAAGCTCCTGGAACGTGCACCGAACCCAAGACCTCAGTACAGACACTCAAAAGCAGCGCCTGATGCTGATGGCATGTGTTTGCATCACATCGGTGGGAGTTATCCAGCAGGAGCTGTCGTGGCAGCCGTTGCCACCACGCCCTTCTGCGGCGCGCGGGCGCGGCCCGGGGCACTACCGCCAGGGGTACCGAGTGACCCCTGGAAAAGGTGGGAGCCGTACGACAAGCCCAACGGCGAAGTCCACAGGGCTATGGTGTGCTTCCTCGCAGCTCGTCAACGAGCAATCCAAGCAATCCAAGGCTCCACATTGGCACTTTCGTCTTCGAAGTGACGCGTGGCGCGTACGATCCAAAGCCATGGGATAATATTGGTATCACTGGCAGTGGATATTGAAGTAACACAGGATTTTTTTGTAACGAAAAGTTGGATCTTACAAGAAATTGGAGCGATAACAGATGATAACAAGTTTTTTTCCTAGGGTGACAAGGCTGAATTTTGCTCCCATTATCATCTTTTCACTGGGGCCCATACCTCCAATGTCCCAAATATCAGCGGATTTGATGGCTGCGAGTCAGCCTTTGGATTTGTGTTTACTTTTCCAGACCCGATGGGTACGGATCGGATCTACTTTCATCTAGGTGTGTCTGAAACTTGAGTATAGCCATAGTTTATGGCCAAAAAAATGGGAATCTGGAGCAATAATGGTAATCCTCAAGTATTCAAACCTGGTTTGATTCAAGATCCTCCAATTTCTAATCATTGTTCATTTAAAATATTTAACTGCCCATTTAGTTCGGGAATTTCCCAGCTAGCCACGGCAATGATGATGACATCGGAGGGCACCATCCTTGCAGCAGAGAATCCATCCACATCACAAGGCCAATCCATGGTTGGCCTCGTATATTCTGATGATAATCCTCAATCAATCCAGGTAAGGATTAGTTGATGAGTCGTTCGGGCGTTTTTGTATCCAAAATATTGATGATTATCCCGTTCTCAACCAACCAGTATACAGGGACGACCAAGTTTTGGACATTGCTCAACTGTGACAAACGGTTTAGTCCTTTGAACCATCTATTAATCGAAAAACATCCTTTTTAAACAAAGGTTAGTACCTAAAGGCAGTTCTAAGAACCCTTGGGAACTAGGCCCCTGCCAGGTGGTCCCCCAAAGTGGGGCCCTATTTGAATGGGAAAATCCATGGGAGAAGTGGCTGATTCTCGCCACGTTTGGCTTACCGGAACCATCTCCCAGGTATCCTTTGACTTGATGGTACGAGGAGATCGCTTGACGATGAAAGACTTTTGGTTCGACGTGAGGATTGACCACAAACGCGCCCTGAGAATTTTGCTAATGTGGGAAATCCTTGATATCTAGTAATGGGAATATATGGGAATGTAATAAACATGTGACCATTTGCCAAAAATAGTTGACAGAAGTTTTGTACTAGTTGTTGATAACTAGTGTGAGTCTAGTGTTTTTTTCCTCTTCTTTACGAGGCGGCACGCAACTAAATTCACCAATTCTGCAAGGCAGCGCTAGCAAACCCGCTAGGTTTGCGCTAGTTATTTTAAACATCCATGATATCTTCAGAAAATTGTTGGTTATGTATTCCTCATTTAAAACCCATATCTGAAATCGAAAAATGGCAAGTGGTTGTCTCCCCGGTCGTCTCCCCACTGCCCAGTTGTTTGCTTACCCACAACATGATCGTTTGTTATGTGGGGGTTCCATACCCCTAAACCATCAATGTTAATAGGATTTTCCATTATAAACCATCCATTTTGTGGTACCTCCATGTATGGAAACCCCCATATTCTTACCTATATAATTACGCAGGGAGTATATTTATTTTCCCCAGTTCCAACATGTTCACTAGCCAAATATACAAGGTGGTGCGCCAGTTGGTTAGCCAAAAATAAATATCGATTGAATATCCATGCCATTACTATGAAATCACGAGATATGTCATCCCACCACTCTTAATATCCCCGCTATTATTCCAATCTCATCCATATCAAACCATGTAACCATAATTAACCATTGTTGTCCATGAAACATCCATGAAATATCGATGAATTTCGCAATTAAACAACCCTTAAACATTATGAAAAACATTATGAACCATGTTTTAATCATTGTTAGCTACCATTAGAAACACTGGTTGGTGATTTCAAACATGTTCTATTTTCCATGATATATGGGATAATCCTTACCATTGACGAATATTTTTCAAGATGGTTAAAACCACCAACCAGATATCAGATAACCATGAAATATCCATGAAATATCGATGGATTTCGCAATTAAACAACCCTTAAACATTATGAAAAACATTCTGAACCATGTTTTAATCATTGTTAACTACCATTAAAAACACTGGTTGGTGATTTCAAACATTTTCTATTTTCCATGATATATGGGATAATCCTTCCCATTGACGAATATTTTTCAAGATGGTTAAAACCACCAACCAGATATCAGATAACCATGAAATATCCATGAAATCTCCCGAGGATCGCATCCTAGTGCCCGACAGCAGCATCTCCTGCGGCGACGTCGCCACCGCCCACGCCCTGGCCTTTCGCAGCCACCTGTGCGGGCGTGGCGACAGCGCCTGCATCGCGACGCCGGGGAATGGGCCGCCCACGGGGCTGCAAAACATGGGCGAATTGGTGGGCGACTTGGCAAAATCTGAGGTTGGAAAACATGGAAAAATCCAGAGATTTTTGGGGAGAAGTTGCTGGTTGGGTTGGAAAAACAACGGATTTTGATGGATTTGTTTGGGGCTGAGAAAATGATTAGACTTTTGGCGGGTTTGATTCATTGATATTGGAAGGGGGGTGAATGAAATCCTGGTGATTGACGTGATTTAACAGAATTTACAGTCTTTGGATTGTTGGAATGGAGATTTATTTTGCAGAGGTGGTTGATGGAAGTTGATATGTTTGAAGATGATTGAAGTGATCTTCTGGAAGGTTGAAAAAAACGGATTTGGGGTTTTAACTGGTAGAGAGACTTGGATTGGGTTGTTGCTGGTTTGAAGGATGTTTTAGAGAAAAATTGAAGGGCCACAAGTGTGGTAAAGATTGGTGAACAGTTGGGCCGGAAGGATTTTTGGCCTGATAGTGTTGATTGAAGTGTTTGTGGAATGTTGACCTTTCATTACTCAAACAGACTGACAAAAAAGAGTGGTATGTCACGTTGAGATTCCTTCACATCCACAAGAAACAATGTGAGTCACATTCCACTTTTGGTTAGAAGGACACTTGGCACGATTGTTGCATGGTCCTTCCTCCCAGTATCAAAAAAATGGTACGTGGTTTGGCTGGTTGATGGTTTATACATGTTGATACCCTCATGTTTGCTCCGTGGGGTTCCCTTGATTGTTGATAAGTCTCCATACATAATAAAAATGACTGGCGAAGGATTGGCTTGCAAGAAATTGTGCATTAAAAAGTCGTTTTGGTACGTTGTAAAAATATTCTCGATGGTAGCTATAATCATTGCCTGCTATAATTCATCACATTCTGGCCTTGAAGAGTTGAAGCGTGATGGTCAAGAGATCGATTCTATACCCATAATCTGGCTGGTGGTTTAAAACATGTTTTTCCCATAGATTGGGAGTGATCATCCCAACTGACTTTCATATTTTTCAGAGGGGTAGGTCAACCACCAGCCAGGAATTATTGAAGGGATGGTCATCAATCCACAGGGATTGATATACACATCTGGTAGGATTCCCATTGTACCATGTTTTTACCCACATTTGGTAGGACGTTTGGCACGGAATCGGGCACGGGGAAGTCAGCGATGCTTCGTCTTGAAGATTTGCAGCGACACGAATCATTTTTTAAAGGGTCCAATCTCAACCAGGTGCTACAAAAAGGCTAGTTCAACAGAATTGTAGGAAACATTGCAGGAGACCTCTACAGTTGATGGTAAAAAGGATGGTTTTCTGTAGATTTTCCCAACAAAACCAATCCATTGAATTTAGTCAGAGTTGCTCCAGCCCGTTGTATTTAATTTAAATGATGGTAAATGATAGCCATAAGGGTGGAAAGTGGTGATGTACCTCTTGATTTTAGCCCATATACCCCTACAATTTCAACCAGATGTTGGAAGCAAGCCTGGTTTCAAGATGTTTGAAAACAAACATAGTGAAACACATATTGATGTTTCCTAAAATAGGAGTACCCCCAGTTCTCATCCATTTTATTTTCGGATGTTCCATTATAAATCATTCATTTGGGGTACCTCTATTTTAGGAAACCCCCATCCATTATATATATATAACCATAAATCATAGGGATATTAAACCATTCAGAATACAATTCTATAGTTGAATTGACTGAATTATGTTCAATGTTGAATGATGTTTTTCATGAAATCAAACAGCCAATGTTCCAGTGATGATGCACTGCTGCACGGCCCAAGGAGAGTCAGGCATTTCCTTCGTGCAAACGGCACCTTGGCGCCGTGGGAATGACCTTGGGCACATTGATTTCAATGGTACAAGGTAAGGTCCCCAAGTGATAGCTAAGTTGGTGTAAATATCTCCAACAACTAGGATTGGCAGATATAACTTGGTATAACTATAGTTCATGAGGTTAAAGATCAACTTATAACTGGGGGGGGGCGCCTACCTTGTAGTTGTAACCCCAGTCCTATTGGACGTTGAAATCATAGGCTCCACCCCGGTGAATTCCTGTGTAACATATGGGGATTCAACCAGCCCACTAAAGGGTGAACCCCCGCAAATATGTACTTGTATATACATAATAAATATATACATATATATATATATATAGACATATAAATAATATTTGTATGTATATATATATATATCAATAATATATATATATATACATATGATGATCAGCCCGAACGACAGTGGTTGCTGATGCTGTTCAGAGCCATTAGGCCTTTCTTATTGGAGGGTCACTTGGGGGCTTTGCTTTATCCCAACTTTCCCAACTTGTAGAGCTAACCTTGCCATAGTTATAGCCATTAGCAACCACGAATAACCATGATTAGACCATATTAACCCCATATTAACCGTTCATTATCCCAACTGCACCTTGATGCTTCAGTTCAACCCGGTCACTTCACAACCCAGGTGTGGTCGCCTGTTCAGATTGATACACCAGGCACCTATCGCATTTGCTTCGTGGCAGACGCCCATGGTTAGTATGGGTTAGTATGGGGTTAATATTGGGTTAATATTGGTTAATATGGGTTAATATGGGCTTAATAAGGGTTAATAAGGGGTTGAAGAGCCATACAATAATCACGTTCATCCAGTGCCCATGCTGAGTTAACCCCTGGCTGCTTGGTCATTTACACAAAAAGAGACTCGTAGTCCTAGTTGAATCGTAGGCATACGATCCCCCAAATCAAAAGTGGCATAGTCTTCCACCTTCCAGCGTTCCAGGCCCATCATGCCATATGATTATGGATCTTGGGTGCCGACCCTGGGAATTTGAGACAAAGATAGCAATAAATCATCCACTTGCCATTCGTCCATGTTCTTCAAGAGTTCATTTTTTCAGGTGAATTGGTTCCCAATGTCGACACAACGTTGGGATTCCTTCGGCTTGCGATGGCTCATGTTTTTTTTAATCTCTCAGGTCGCAGTCGAAAAAACATAAAGGTGAAACATCGCAAGCCGAAACTGGTGACGAAATCGATGGTGAAATGTACCAAGAGGCTTCAAGAGACTTCACCTTGGCAACTCGTGTACCCTGATAGGCGATTAACCCAACAAACACTGCGTTGTTTGTGGTCCATTTTGAGCAGTAAACCATCTCATTTTGTCGCACCCAGTGCTGACCTATATGCCCAAATATAGGTCGGTCCAATTTGCAGACCGAAAAAAAACGTACGTAAGTGCCATGTGAAGATGTTCAGAATGATCCATTGGAATTGCAATGTGATAAACACAACGCCATAAACAACGACCATTTGATGGTTTCTACCATGGCTTTGACCACCCATCTATGGTAGTATTCAGGATGTCAAACTGCTACCCAAACAGAACCGCTCCAAACAGCCAACCCTCCGCAGCTCAGGTTGGTGCGTCGACGACAGTTGGGACCCAGTGAAGTTTCTTGACTGGACGGGTCTTGGAAGAAACTGGGCAGCTGGGATTGGTTCAGCTACAAATGGGATAACCCAGGGACGAAACTATGGGATAATCCACCAACCATTGACGAACTCATATTTTTCAAGATGGTTAAAACCACCAACCAGATGAACATGTCCATTTTTTCATGGGATAACTGATCAGGAGGGTTATTCACCATTTACGATCTGTGGGATGAACCTCTGCGCATTGCAAGTTGGTGGCTTCGTGTTCAGTTCACATGCAAGCGACTGATATGTGCCAGGCGGTCCGGATTGAGTTCAAAAGAAATGGTTTTGCCTTCTGTCCATGATTTGTTCGGATACTATATAATATAATGTGGTAAACCCAAATAAACCAAAAACATCCCCAATCTCACCATCTTTATGGGTTGTATTTTTACCATCCCAAGTCATGGTACGTTTACGGCATTGGGATTACCGCATTAGCACTGAAATCTCTGGAATGCGCTGAAATCTCGGATCCACGAAAAAAGATACTGGCTGGTGGTTTGGAACCATGGAATTATGACTTTCATATTTTCCATATCTTGGGAATAATGGTGGGATGTAATAGGAAATACCCTCTGGTATTTTCCCATAGATTGGGAATTTCATGATCCCGAATGGCGAACTCATATTTTTCAGAGGGGTCGGTACACCATCAACCAGAGTTAATTGGGTCTTGTTGGGAAACTCTATGATTTTTCAACCGCCATTTCAAGAATGCCTGCTAACCACCGTTTCCAAACCGCATAACGCCCCAAACCCAATCCGACAAAACGCATGCCCGATTTGAGTTCATGGGGACACGGAGATAACCATACAAAAATTAAGTGTAGCGATTGGGGCCTTTTTTTTCGTCATGCCAAGAATCTTGCAGAGGTAGTCTTTCTCCAAGCCCGTGGCTGGTTCGGTGCATTTCAACCTTTTCAGCCTCCGTGAAAAGCCTCTTTTGGGAGGTCACTTTTCCGGGTGTATCTCAGAGTTTGTTTCGGGATTTTTTTGCAGGAAAGCCGAACAAAAATTGGATGGTAAAGACCCATAGGTGTCCAATCAATTTTCGCTCGAAATGATCAATAGAAGGGTGGGGCCGCCCCCACAAGCGTGGCAGTCAAAGGCTCAAATCTATGTTTCCCCATTTCGAGACATCATTGGTTCGATACTTAATATACTTATATTCCCTTTTTCTTGGGGTTTTGGTTGCTGAATCTCTTGGGGTGTTCCCCTTATTGGATGAGTCAGCATAGTTAGTTTGAAAAGCTCACCAATTTTGCTGGATTGAAGCCTTGTTGTTGGTAGGGTTGTGATCTTGTATTATCTTGTATTTTCTCATGACACCCTGACCCAGTTTAGGGTATGATTGGCAGTATGTTTGCACAGCTACATCCCCAGTGTTTTTTTAAAGTATTAACCCCAATTCTGGTTGGTGCATTATCTCTTTGTTTTCTTGCCCAATTTCAGGATACCCTCATTTCTGCTGGGTAAAAGTTCCATTTCTGCCGGTTGAAGCATCCCTTTTTGCTGGCGAGTCGTCACCGAGGTTGGAAAGCTACGGCCTCTGCGGCTCGGGGTTCCAGTTCAACGTGCAAGCAGGACTCGTCGTGGTGCAGGGCAGCGATGGGGATCAACGCTTTCAGTGCACCTCCTTTCAGCCACTTGGCGCCATGGGGGAAGGGGGATGCCCCTGAGTGATGGTAGTTGGTTTACAACCCCACTTTTTTTAACCTCCAAAAAAAATAGAAAAGTAAAATCCCACAGTAGTGATGGAGGATTTTTCTATCTTTGTGGGTACTAGAAGTATACACTTTATATCTACCATCCCAAGCTATTGGAGCAACCAGCAACCAGCGATTCCAAACTTGGGACCGTGACCTGAGTCAGGCAACACATTCATCGAAAATTGGGGAGATAACCATTGCTTGAATACGGTATCCCTCTTATAGATGAATCACAAGCCGCCATGAACCGTTTGGGCATGATTTTCTTCACCCATTGATGCAATTCTTGGGCGACGGTCTATTCTTGGGTTTACCCCATTAGTGTGCTTCCATTGCTTCCATGTCGGGACTGAGGTAACGGGGAGAAGCTGAAAACACTGGGACGGTGTATTGTTTGTGGTGGCCACCAACTCATGAAAAGTTGTTTAATATGAAGTAGGATCACTCATACCCAAAGAAATGTTTTTGTTGGCGCTTAGTGTCTAAGATGAACATCACACATAGAAAAGAGAAAAGTCTTGGAAGGTTAAACTGTCTTGATTGTTGCCCAAAACTACACAAGTTGTGTGTGTGTGTGTTTCCGTTTGTCTGCGCACTCTTGTGTCTAATGTGGTTCGTCTTTTTGCGACTCATCTCGATTTACAGGGCAGCGAATAGTGTTTCCATCTTTGACTCTTCGCATGGGTAGAGACACATCTGTATCAAGATTGAGACAGACCAGCACATCGTTCAACTGCTATGGTTGAGCCTAAGTGTGCGGAGTTTTGAAACCCGTCTGCCTCTTGGAGTGTCCTTCAATCTGTCTCCAGTCTTACCCTATTCAGACAGTGTTCCCACTTTGACATGTTGCAGGTTCATGGTTTCCCGCACAATCATCCCAAAGATTGTTGATTGATCTCCACATGTGAAATCCCAGTTGCTTTAGTCCCAACATGTCCCAAGTGATTTCTATCCCCATTTGAGTTCATCAATGGATTGCTGCCCCCATTCTTGGACAGACCTCAGTTCTTACTGGTCAAACAGCTCCATTTTGCTGGCTGCAAATTCCTCTCCATGTGGCCCCCAGGCCCTGTAACTTGAACATCATCTCGGAACTTCCTTTCGAAAGCGCCTTGTTGGGATGGCACATGGTGGGGCTTGAACCAAAATTGAGAGACCCCCCACCCCCAGTGTCATCAGACTGCCTGGGAAATCCTTGAAAATGGAGGTTTCAATGGATTTTGTTGTCAAAAAAACGTGGATTTTCCAGCAAGCCATGTTGCCGGATGGTTTTTTGAACGTTTAATCATTGGATATTTCTCGGTACCCTGCTTATAGGGAAAAACCCAGAGATCCTGATTTCACATGGCTCTGATTGTGTGAAAAAATATTGATGTGTTAATGTGCCAATGTTAATGGGTTCTTTCTCTCCACGCGGCGTTCTTCATGTTGCCGTCTTTGCTGGTCACCCAATCTATGACTCTTTTCTGTTTCTGATTGGTTTGGTATATCCCAAATGTGCTGGGGCGCCATACTCGTATTGATTCCAGTCGTTCATTGGACTAAAAAATTGCTGTTTCGATTGCTGATGTCTCCATTTCTCTTGGTCATTGTTTATTAGAGTTCTCCTGAGTTTGATTGAGGATAGCGGGCAAATCCTGATTTGGTTGCTCGATGGCTTAGTGTTTGCTTGGACATAGATAGAACAAGAACTGAGCAAAAAGGATCAGAAGAACGATAAGAACGCTCGAGAGATCAGACGCAAAGTGATGAGTTTCCCAGCCACGGTTGATGACAGCGGCGGGTAGATCCATGTTCATCCCATTCAGCAACAGTGAGAGATATTCACCATGCAATATCCCAATGAAATCACCTTTGAAAATCTCATTCTCCCCATTATTCCTGCTGGTTCTCATGAATCTTTAGGTCCTCATTCATATCCATAAATTGAATATCCATTCAAGAGAACAATAGAATAATAGAACAATTGAATATCTATTGCATATCATAATCTTTAGGTTCAACAAATTTGAATAACAATGTTCCAAGTGAAACGTCCCATGTCAGCGCCTGACCAACGGAGGCGGCGATCGCATCATGGTAGTCGCACCTCCGCCCACCTCCACCAACTCGCTGGCAACGGTCTGTGGCCGTGGCACCACAGGGCTACAGGCGCGGGTGATTTTTGATGGACACATTGATGGGATATTATTGGGATATTATTGGGATATTATTGGGGTAGTAGATATTAATGGATATGGATGGGATATTAACTAGGTCAATCTTGGATGGCTAGTTTAACCCTTTAGTCTTTTGGTATCAATGGGATTATCTGCTAACCAGAAATTATATTTTTTGCAGGGTATCCAAGATTGGCCATGTTAATGGATATCAAAGAATATTAATGGATATTATTGGGATATTGATGGATAGTAGGTATTAATGGATATTGATGGGATATTAATGAGATATTGATAATGAGGAAATCAGGATATATTAATGATATATTAATGATATAATAATGAATAATCATGGATAATATTGGAGATAAAGGGATATTAAGGGATAATAATGGACATTAATAGACATTCAGGGATATTGAGGGAAAACAACTATGTGATACATTCAACTATAGTGGGATTGGTTGGGGTAATAGGATGTTTTTGGTGATTTCAATGGAAGTTATTATGGGAATTTATGAGAGTTTTATGGGAGGTCATGGGATTCTGTTGTGATATTACCCTCCAGCAATGGAAAATCCCCGAACTAAATGGACGTGTTTTTTCTTACAGGAAATCATCGAACTAAATGAAGGAAACTCCATCAATGGGGGACCCCAAGATGGATGGCTAATGGAAAATACATTCCCAAAAAATGAATGATTTTTTAGGGTACCCCCAGCCATTAGGAAACCCCCAAATGGAATTGTACGTTTGATTAATGTGGGTGAAACAATGTCATTTTTACCACCCATGACTGGGAATGGAAACCATACCACCTATTGATGGTGATGACTGGGCGATGGTTTATGGCATTGTTTTACTGACATCACTCCCAGTTCTTTCCGTGGCGCACCCTGCCACGGATCGGATTCGGATGTCGTCAGGTCGAAGTGGGTGCGTTCCACAGCATCTACGACACCACGACCACCAGTCCTCCATTGTTCACCAGTACATTAGGCGTGATGATGGATTCAGTGGCCGTGATTTCATGGTGAGTTCATGGCTATTCAACAATTGTTTAATAGTTATTGAATGGTTATTTAATGGTTCACAATGGTGATTTACTGGTGAATGGAATTTAATGGCTATAAAACCTTGCAAAAACTAAAGATCTGAGGGAACTTGCGGGCGGACTGGGGCGAAATTCATGGCTAGAACTATGGGACTTTAACAAACATAAGGGATACGGGATCCCTACAACTATGGTGAACCATAAACCCACTTATAACTGCAAACTGCACTTCCAAGTAGAGATTCAACCCGAAAAAAAGTGTGGAAGATACAATCCATGGTGACTCCCCAATAATGTGAGGCTTGATTTTCTGGGCAAATCTTAACCACAGCGGCGCATCCATCGGCCTTGCGAAGGGAAGCTCACCCTTGGGGGAATGGCTGAATCCCAATGATGATAGGGCTGTTTTGATAAACCACCTGCCAATGAAGAATGTGAAAGTCATAAGTCGATCATTTATGTGGCATACTGGGATAAATCCCCCCGTCTTTTCCCACGATGTATTGTTTTTGTGATATGCTCCAGCTACCACGACTTGTGCTGATTCTGACAAGATCTAAGTGGTGAAAAAAAACCTTCAGAATGCCAAAGACGAGTTCATAGTCCAGGTGAAGATGAAGCGTATCTTGCAGCTCATTCAGAATCCATGTACCCTCTGGTAAACAAACATAGCTATGGAAAATGGCCATAGAAATAGTGGATTTACCTATTCAAAATGGTGATTTTCCATACGTAGTTATGTTAGTTTACCAGAGGGTAATTTGAAGCATTGCAGCTGATAGCGACACAAAATTGGGAGAAGATGACACCATTCACCGGGGCAATTTTCGACCCAAATTTCCTGGTACCGAATTGTCCGTCGCCATCGGATGACCAGGTGTGAATGAAACTACCACCACCGTTGTCGCGCAACCATCGCTGCTCGGTTGGTCCAAAAATGGTCAGCCACTTTGGGGAAAGCCGCTAAAAACTGTGTTAGATTTAGCGATTTGAACACCCCATACCACCTCTTCATTGATGAATCCCAGTTGGATCATGTTTTTGCTTCACCAAGGCATTATGTGGGTGAATTCCTACTGGAGTCAGCCGGGCAAGCTGGCTTGTACCGCCTTTGCTACTGTCACTGGCAAGCGTTGGTAAGGGCGCGCCTGAATTTGATAGGTCAGATTGATAACTCTAGCTCTACTTCAGAATTATCAATCCTATACTGGTTGGTGGTTTGGAACATGTTTTATGTTTCCCAATCGTTGGGATGATGATCCAATCTGACGAACTCCATCATTTTTCAGAGGGGTAGGGCTCAACCACCAACCAGCTATAAATGTCGTATTTATAATGATCAATCCTATGGAAAAGAAATTCATACAGGATTATAAATGGTAGATTAAATATTATTATTCCTAATTATTCCTATAGGATTATTCTCATTCCTAATTATTTCATCAAGCTATAAATGAGTTATATCCTGCCAGATTGCCTTTTTTCACGTTTGTCACGTTTGGTCAAAAAATAATTTGCCTGTGACAAAACCTTTGCTTGGCACCTCTCCCAACGAGTTGCAGTGAAAAAAATCCACCATGGCAACGGAAACTGCCCTAGCAATGTAGATGATTGGCCTCTCAAAAAATGGGAGGGATCCAGTGCCAAGTCAAATTATCTGAGCATCAATGCCATCAGTGCTTGATGTGTGTTTAATTTTGCATGAATTAATCTCATTGTTAAATCTGTTAAATCTCCATCTTCTGTTTGTGAAACTGCGGTTGTTTTTTTGTGCAACAGTCTGCAATCTGCATTTTGTTGGTTCTTCTTGGTTGAATTCCTCATTTGGCTGTGTTTTGATGCATTGAAATCCCTTCTTTGTCACAGCTTCAGTCCCATTTCTTGGTGGAATGTCGTTTCCATTTCTGAAGTGTTCCATGTTCAATTCCATAAATCCATACAAATGATTCATGGAAGGAATCGATCCGGTTAAATCATTTAAACCCCATGAAGCTATATAAATCTCCATGTTCAGTCCCATAGATCCTATGAAATCCTATGAAATCTCCATTTTCTCTGGCTATCTCAGGGTTTTCCCTAAGGGAACCACCCCACCCCACAGCACCACCCCGAGGCAAAAACGCCGAGCTCGGGCCCTGCGACGATCCTGTGGCCTTCGCGCAATTCGCGGGGATTTTGCACCTCGGTCTGGTGACTTTGGGATTTTTTCATGGGAAATCGATGGCGAATATCTGGGGGATATCCATTAATGTCAACCCCGGATTAATAAACCATGGTTTATTAATTAGGGGGTACTCCTCCAATAGTCATAATCCAATACTTAAATGGTACCCCCCCCAATTAAACAGCCTAGGGGTTTATTAATCCAGGGTTGACATTAATATCCATTCATGATCATATTTATTTGACATGTCAATGAATATGATAATCTTAGATATACCCTTTGGTTATGTCAAAATAGCTATTGAAAATGGCCCAGTCGAAATAGTGGATTTACCCATTAATAGCATGGTCATTTTCCATAGTTATGTAAACGTTGACCAGAGGGTATCTGGGGGATATGGGAAATCTATGGCAAATTCTGTGGCAAATATACGTATGTTTTTCTTATGGGGATATAGTAACTAATATAGTATGATATAACTGGATCAAATGAGATGTTATGGTGATTTTGGCAAATATCTGGGGGATACAGGTATGAATCTGATATAATGGGAATTAGATGAGATATTGTTATTGTGATGTTCATGGAATGTTACTGTGAATTAATGGGAAATTATGGATATCATGGCGAGTTGTTGTGGTGATTTAACGGGATTTCATGGAATTTGATGATGATTGTATAGTGAATTTATGGTGATTTATGGACATGTGATTTGATTTTAGGGTGATATAAGGGGATTTCTGGACATTACAGTCAAAGTCCCATGGCTGAAAGCCCCATGGTTCAAACCTCATGTTCCACCTTGAAATTGCCACAGTGGAAAACATATATGGGATATGATGAGAAAGAATGAAACATATGATGGATAGAAAACCAAGAATTTTAGGCTGGGAAATCCACACTATAAAATGATGAATGGGTGTGTCATCCATAAATTGTTATCCCGACCGATGAACCTGCCTGGATTTGGGGGCACCCTATTTTGGGGTGACAAACTTAAAGGAGGATTCCACCCTCAAGGATGACAAAGTGCAAGTTTGGTATTGATTTTTGGAGGGTATGATCTGGATGATGTTTCATGAAGCAAGGACCAATGTCGTTTTAGGGAGAAAATCACACCAATCCCAAGACACTTGAAGTGAAATGAGTAGGCATATTGGTGTGTCTGAAAATGGCTTATACCCTCAGTTATGACCATCAATAGGGAAAGGATCGTTATCTAATGGAATTGGTGGTATTTTCAGACAAGAAAATACTTCGTGGTGCTGGGGTGAAATTAATGTTTATAACTATGCGATTTTAACCTCCATAAGTGGGGATATGGGGCAAAAAAAAAACTATGGTGCAATATAAGCCACTTGTTGTGGTTCCACACCCCCGGCAGTATCTTTGGCGAAATCCCGCCGATGTTTCACCAAGGAACATCTCCGGAAAGGTGGAATATGAATCTTGGTGGCGGATAGTTGATAGGTGGCTGTGGCTTACTACGGATATACTACAGATGTTACAACCGAAACCTCCTATAGGCAAAGATATTTTTTCGAAAAGAAAGCCGCACTGTTTTTTTGACCTGGTTGAAGGAAAATTCTTTGCAGGACTTTTCTTTGTGTATCCGGCTTCTGTCATGTTTTTTCTATGTTGACCATGTTAAACCCCAAGTTCATCATTTCATCCTATTGTTAATTGCTAATCTCTATGAATGGATATGAAGCATGAAATACCCTCTGGTTATGACTAACATAGCCATGGAAAATGGCCCATTTATAATAGATGGTTTACCGGTTTACCTATTGGTGATTTTCCATGGCTGTGTGAGTCATAACCCCCATTAGATCTCCATGAACTCACCATTCAAAAATCCATGGTTTTCACCCTGAAAGTTGTCACCTCCCAGGAGCCAAGTCGGGGCATTCACCAGCAGTGCTTGGTCTCCCAGCGTTGCCATTTCAACATCACAGGGGCGCCTTGGCAGCTTTGGTGAAAACCCATCAGCAAGTCGACCGAAGAATGATAATTAAGAATGGCTAATAATGATGAATGGATATGAATGGTGAATATAATGATGATGAATGCTTAATAATGCTTAATTAATGCTTAATAGTAGTGATTACCCTTTGCTATCAATCATACATGGCTTGAAAGTCGTAGTTTTTTAAATGGGGCTTTGATGGGATAACCATCCATGAAGTGGGTCATGGGGAAGTCCTTGATCAACGGGCCATCGATGTCGCTGCCAAGCCTGACATCACGACGTGATGTCGGGTCCTATGCAGAGACGTTGCAAAGGCATGGGGGTCGCATTTGCCCCTACCTCATGTGGGGTCGTATTTGCCCCTACTCAAGGTGGAGGTAGGGGCGAATGTGACCCTAGCGTAGGGGCGAATGTGACCCCTGCTTTTGTGTGGGAGGCGCAGCAGTTTCAGAGCCTCGACATAATCTTTTCAAGCTCAGACAGTCATATTCACGTGTTACGTTGTAAAATCCGTTTCAAGCAACTCCAAGACGATGGAAGTTTCGTTGTAACATCCACTTGAAGTCACTTCCAAGACGCTCTGGATGTTAAGTTGCAACATCCAGTTTAATTAACTTCCAAGACGCTCTGGATGCTACATTGTAACATAACATCCATGTCAAGCAACTCCAAGATGCTGTGGATGCTACGTTGTAGCATCCATATCAATCAACTTCCCTGACATATTCAATAGTGAGGCCAGTGACTTAACCAATGTCCCCAAGTCCCCCCAAACCAATGTCCCCAAGTCCCTCCCTAAGCAATGTCCCCAAGTCCCTCCCTAAGCAATGTCCCCAAGTCCCCCCTAAATGTCCCGTGTCCCCAGGTCAAACCCTAAAAGGCTGAATGACATATTCAATAGTGAGGCAAGTGCCTTGATCGATGTCCCCAAGCCCCCCCCAACCAATGTCCCCAAGTCCCCCCCCAACCGATGCTCCCAAGTCCCCCCTAAATGTCTCGTGTCCCCAGGTCAAGCCCTAAAAGGTTGAATGACATTCAATGGACAGGATAGTGGGGTAGGAGCGAATGTGACCCCTGGGGTTTTATGACTTTCCATATAGTGGGAATAATCATCCCAACTGATTTTCATATTTTTTCAGAGGGGCTGAAAAACGATACCTTCTGTTAAACATACAAAAAAGGACGCAAAGATCCACCATGCTATTAATGGGTAGATCAACTATTTCGACTGGGCCATGCTATCAATGTCGCAAACTGTTTGTTGACCAGAGGGTAATTTGAGCAAATTGGACCCGGATTTCGCTGGATTATTTCCTGGATTGCTGGCATACGACAGCCATCAGGATGCAAGTGGCCACGATTCAGGAAATTCCCTCAACCCAGAGCAACCGACATGTTTTCATTTCAAGAGGTTCGGTCGCTGCAAATCAAACCCTTGCGGTGTTTGCAAAATTAGTCCAATGGTGAGAGAGAAACCAGAAGCTTTGAAATTGAATCTGTATAGATACATAGATAAACAATGCCCAAAATGTGCAATTCACTTCTTCATCTCTGCGTGCAATGATTGGTTGTTCTACCTTATCACTTGGAGTTGTTTTTCCAATATGGGTCATGACCATGGGAAATATCCCATGATTAGCATGATTACCAATCTCAGTGATATTATTGTAACAATTTCATATTTTCTAGATTTTCCATTGTTCCAGATGAGTTTGTTTGATCCACGATTCGACGATGACTGGGTCCCGCACAAATGGCTGAAAAACCCATTGATGGCCATGGCTTCCCAGTATATCCCATGATCTTCCCATCAAATCGCATAAAATCCAATGGAATCCCTAGTGGTGGTCAATATACCCGGTGCATTCGCTCTCCAAACCAAATTTTTGTTTGTTATACCTACCCTTGAGTTTGATGAGTACTTCATAAAACCCCAATAAAATGCCATCAAATACCCCACTAAATCCAATCCCCACTATATCCTCATGAAATCCTCACTACATCCCATCAAATCTCCCACGAAATCCGTCTGATATCCCATAAAATGTTCCTAAATCCCACATATGTTACTTTAGTGATTCGTTAACCACCTATTAGTGATTAATATCACCATTGAAACCCCATAATCCATGAGTTTTACCATTCAAAACCTAAGTCCCATCCAAAAATCCCGAAATTTCTCAGAAAATCCTTCACCGAATGGTGAAAATATTCCCTCTCCGAGGTTTGGGCCATGCAACTCAGTTTCCTTGACTCCTTCCGCGCCGTTCCCACAGACATCGCCTGTGATGACGAGCCTCGGAGAGATCGGTAAAACCAAAGGGATGGTCCATGGAATTCTATGGTGATTTATGGGATTTCCCATGGGATCTTACTGGATTTTATGGTGATCATGTGGGATTTTATGGTGCTTATAGGAATTCATGGTGAATTTTGTTCGGATTTTATGTGGATATGTCATGGGGAATTGACCAAAAATACTGGGATTTTTTATCGGATATAATGATGATTTCGTAATCAAACATGGACCTGACCTGATTATCATAGAAAATTTGGAGATCTAGAGGGTATTTAGACGGTAAAATGTGCCGATTTGCCGGAGATGTGCTTGGAAAATGTGGAGCTTTGGGGAGTACTGCGGATGAAAGTGGGGGATATGATAGCGGACTGGCCTTCACCCACTTGGCTAAGATTCATGGTGTAGCTGTGACAAGATCAATCCAGTGACGACCGAGTGAGTTTGCCAGGTTGAACAAAAGGAACGACATCTTGAAGTTCTTAGTGTGTTCCTCCAAATATTCTATTGGGCCGCCAATAAGAGACCCCAAAATGAATAAATCCTAGACTAAACCTTTCCATCAAGTATTAAGTATCTGAGGGGGGCGGGATTAAGTGAATGGATTTGGACGATAAGACGATATCCTAATTTTTGCTGACGCCGCCTCTAACGACCCCAGTCCGTTTGCTAATTTGTGCACTGTTGTCTTGTTACACGTCATATTTGCCATGTTCTTTTCTCATGCACGTTCATATGTGTCGGGTGGGGGTGGGGGGGGGCTAATAATGTTCTGTCACCTTTTCTCTTGGCAGTTGCTTTAAACTTTTTGACGTTTCTGGTCACATTGGGGGGTGGGGGGGCTAATAACGTTCTATGCACACTTTCATGTAACATCTAACAAGCTCCTGGTGCTATGCTCTTAGCACTTTCATGTAACATCTAACACGCTCTTGTTGCTATGCTCTTAACACTTTCATGTAGCATTTAACACGCTCTTGGTGCTACGCTCTTAACACTTTCATGTAGCATCCAACAGGCTCTTGTTGCTACGCTCTTAACACTTTCATGTAAGATCTACCTCTCTTTTGCTGCTACGCTCTTAACACTTTGATGTAACATCTAACACGCTCTTGTTGCTATGCTCTTAACACTTTCATGTAGCATTCAACACGCTCTTGGTGCTACGCTCTTAACACTTTCATCTAGCATCCAACAGGCTCTTGTTGCTACGCTCTTAACACTTTCATGTGACATCTAACACGCTCTTGTTGCTATGCTCTTAACACTTTCATGTAGCATTTAACACGCTCTTGGTGCTACGCTCTTAACACTTTCATGTAGCATCCAACAGGCTCTTGTTGCTACGCTCTTAACAAGTTCATGTAAGATCTACCTCTCTTTTGCTGCTACGCTCTTAACACTTTCATGTAAGATCTAAGACGCTCTTGAATCGAGATTTGAATTAGAAAATCAGAGACTATATATACAGTTTTGTCTGGAGATGCAATGTGCCGAAGGATGCTCAGTTGAAACAACTTGACACCTTGGCAAAGACTTGCAAGTGAAAAACAACAAGCATTCAGCTTTTTGAACATATTGGAAGCGAAAAAACACATTTCGAGAGGGGAAGGACGATGGTCACATGTCAAAACTCCCTCCCATTCGAGAAGCATGAGTTGTGATGAATCATGATGACCTATGAACACCTAGATATCCCAGAGACGTTGGTTTCCCAATCCAGAGAAGCAGAAATTTCCACCTTTTCTCAGATGTTACGCCTTTGGCCCACCTTGACGCTTTTGGCCACATACAAGCATGATCTATGAACATCACGCTACATACTATATATCATGCGAAAATTGGTGCCGGCATTTGGGACAATGTGCAGTACGGCAAAATACCCACGTATTACGGCAATTTACGTCCGTATTATGGCAAAATACTTTTTTTTGGGAATTTGACATAATTTGACCAAAAATTATTAAGAACGGTCTTAGGTGCTACATTTAAGCAATGCTTCGCTTGATATTTGTGAATCCTGCCTCTTTGACCAAAAGGCAGATATTCCGGTGAAAGCATTTATCAGAGTCTTTTCGGAGATCCAGGCATGGAGAAGCATGACAAGTTACGATGAACTATCATGGTCAAAATTATGATCATGAAGAATGTGATTGATGAACAACTACCCACAAATTGCATGCATAGATTTGCTTGATCACAGTATAGAATCACACAATGCCAATTGCGTATGTGTTTCATACATCGCACGCAATGTATCTGCAGATGATTCCAAAAAACTACACATCTAAGCATACACATATGTACACGCATTTGTGCACATACGTGTAGGTACATATGAATCTAGGTGTGCTCGCGCCACTCCCCTAGGCTAAAAATCGATTTGCTTCCGGATCTGGATCTTCTGCCGGTCTCCAGGCTGGCTCGATCCAAACCCGACCACACGGCCGCTGTGAACACGCGCTTGGAAGTGCCACGCAGCATAGGGCTGCCTCAGTCCGGCCAACGACGGCCCTGGGCAAATTGGGTTTGGGAGAGCCCATGGGTTTTTAGGTTTTGAAGTTGAAGGTGGTTGGATGGCACATGAAAGCCAATGTCAAACACAAACGCTGCAAGAGAAACAAATGCAGGGTTGGTCAAGTGATTGGCTGGAAGAAGATCATCCATGGCACGTCAGTGATGGGAGGACCAGACCAAACGGAGGAAGTACCAATATGCAGCCATGTTGGCAGGGCTCAAAACTATCAACCCACAAATGGATGGTTTCCTGCCAAATGTGGCCAATCATGTGGGTCATGTGGTGCACGATGTTGATCGCCATGGCCATATTTTTCTGCAACCATCAATCATCAAAACACCACTCAAGCAAGAACAACCGTCAATTATCGTCAATCAATCAGGAATGAACAAGTGAACCCGCCCGTTCAGCTGTGATCCGGGTGTTCAAGCGCTCAGCTCAGGCTGTTGCAATGTTGGCTTCTCAGGCTTGCCAAGTGTCTTTGTCAGGCTTGCCTTGCGAACGCCGGACAGGCACCACGGTTCCCCACATCTTACTGTACCTGCTCTCTGGCCATGGCTTGGAATTGGAAAAATTCAGTGTGGTGGCAGAGAAAAGAAAACCATCCATTTTGATCCATTTTAGGGGTTGATAGTTTTGAGCCGTACCAACACGGCTGCATTGTGTACTCCCCCTGTTCGGTCTGGTCGTATCAGTACCATGCTTGCTGTAACCACTGTAGCGAAAGCCAAGGCATAAGTGCATAAAGCGTTTGCTGGACCTCGAGGACCAGGCCTATGAGAATTGGTGCCAGGGGCCAACTGATGGGTCAATACGTAAAGAATTGAATTACATTCGGGACATATTAATATATTACATACATATGTGATTTAATAATAGATCATATGTATTTCATATATTATTTGATTCATTTATTGGAATGATTTCCATTTAGTCCATGGCGACTGCAAATGTGCCAGGATGACTGGCTGTCGGAAGCGAGCTCCTCAAGATGCCTCCGTCTGGTGTGCATAGAGAATTCGCAAAGGACAAGTCATGAGTCATGAATAATTAACTATACCCACAGTGATCCTTGGTAATTACTCGAACAACAGTCGATTACAGACCCGTTAAGTTATACCCAACAACCATCAAGCATGATCATCATAACCATCGAGAAACACCAAGAAGGACATCCATCTCATGGCATCTCATGATATCTCATGACATCTTCGGCTTTTATGTTTTTACTTGGGCCACTTGGGGTTTTCTATTCTCTGCTGTGCAAGTCCGAGGCACCCTTCCATCGTGAAGATTGGTGGTAGGTTGGGTTCAGGGAGCGGGTGGCATTCCTTTACCAGACATCATGTCAGATTCCTCTACCAGACATGTGCCTAGCTTCATGTGCCTAGATCAGAGGTGAAGATCACATCTGAAATCAAGCGTCCCGCTGCTCAAAGTGCAGGAGCCAGTGCAGAGATATGGCATGTGGTTGTGGTATGTTGTGGTATGTTGTGGTAGTGGTCCTGAGCTTTTGGCGCAGTTTCAACCGTGGCACAGGTCCAAAGACGCCAAGGATGCGGTACAGGGAGCTGGCTGGTTGCGGCAGTTGGAAGACTGAATTGCAGCAAACGAACTGTCGAGCTATCCCCACCATGACATCTATACGTTTTGCAACTGGCAAATCTTCTGGCATTCTATCTGGCAAATCTTCTGGCATTCTATCTGGCAAATCTTCTGGCGTTCTATCTGGCAAACATTCTGGCATTCTATCTGGCAAATCTTCTGGCATTCTATCTGGCAAATCTTCTGGCATTCTATCTGGCAATCTTCTGGCATTCTATCTGGCAAATCTTCTGGCATTCTATCTGGCAAATCTTCTGGCATTCTATCTGGCAAATCTTCTGGCATTCTATCTGGCAAATCTTCTGGCATTCTATCTGGCAAATCTTCTGGCACTTTATCTGGCAAATCTTCTGGCATTCTATCTGGCAAATCTTCTGGCATTCCACCAATGTAAAATCATGGAAACGATTACGAAGTCATGTAAATACCATTCGAAATGCGAGTCTACACAAAATGCTCTGGACACAAAACCCTGGCAGGGTTGTCGAAACAACAACTTGGCAGCAGAAAAAAGAGCGAAAATTACCGGGGTCATTGCGGGCGGCTTGACCGAATTTTTGGACTAAACCATATTGGATCATATCGATATGACAATGGCGTTGTTTGGGGTTTTGAGGCGAGTGACTGTTTCGATTATGCTGCGCAAAATGCTGTCATTCACAAAGCTGAAATATCCAACGTTTTGGTTGTAATTGATGGTCGGGACATGTCCGAAAACTTCTCCCTACAAATTTGGAAAACATGTCTTGGATCTGTCCCCACCTAACTGCCCCAATCTTAACCTTCGCAGAACTGATGACATCCAAGTTGTTGGGCCAGCAATCCTTTCATAAACATAGATAGACTCAGATAGACCTCCATCTTTCAAGTACATCCAGTGCTCAGACTGCCCTATGAGGAACCCTCCGGCCTGAAACTCACAGCTTTTGGTCGTGGCTGTAGAAAATGGCCCATCTAATGCTCGATGATTTCACTTACGAAAATAGACTAAAATAGTAGTTTAATGCAATGAGAATTAAAGCGACTGTTATTATATGTGCATAGTTCTATCCATATTCCGTATATATATATATATGCATTATGTATATCAGACATGTACATGATGTACATACATAATTGGTTGTAGTATCATGAAGAGGTTCCTGGCAAAAGTGAAATAGCAATTTTGGCAATCTTTGTTCCTGCAGGAGGCGGCTTCCAGCTTGAATTGGACAGATATCCGGAACACAGTCATCTTTGCAAGAGTGGGGTGGCTCCTGCTTGGATGCGCAGGAAGCGGCATCGGGTTGCGAGCTGTAGGCACTAGTTCTTGAGTGCAATGAAGAAAGTGTGTCGAGGCAAGCTGGCGGATGATTGTATTGTGCTTGCTCACTGCTGGCCAAAGTTTGAGGTTCCGTCTCCATGGTTCTGCAATGGTAAGTGGTCGGTTTCAGAAGCGGGGTCAGACGAGACGGAGCTGCTGCACATGGTCGCGCGAATTGCCACACAGAAGCCTGGAGCAGTTATGATTTTGCGGCACAGCAGGCGGTTGCTGTGGAGAAGCCGCTGCACTTGCAACGAGGCTGTTGAGCTCTGGAATTCCCATAGTAGGCGCTCCTAATTTTCGGGCGCGAGGTTGGTTCAGATATATTGCGGACCCCCAACCTATTACGGTGGTCTCAACATTGGAACCCAAAAAAAAACATCTCATGGCTTAGAGAATGCGATTCCAGTATCTCACATCGTGGAAGTAAATCCTTAATTTCAGACAAAACCCCATATCAAATTGTGCAATCTGTTGTTACCACTATTTCTTGAAGGCAAGCCATTGATTTAAGATAGTCCAAACCCAGACTGTGATTTGGATGATAATTGACCGTCCAAGTCAGGTTTCCAAGTTTCTTCTGCAGCCCAGGAAGCAGATTCCTCATCCTATCCATATTTCACGCTCCAACGACGGCATCTCGGCCAGTGGCGGAAACCGGCTGGTGATTGGTGGGTTTAAAAGGCTGAATTCTTTGCAAGAATGGTGCTATCCGGCCAAAGGCCAAAAGCGATGTTTTTTGCTGGGTTTCTGAAGTTAGCCATGTATTGGTGACGATTTGGAACAAACCATCTGAAATATAGATACAATATATATATATATACTGTATATATATATACCGTATATATATATATATACTGTATATATATACTGTATATATATATATATACTTGGATCCTGAAATATGTTCGTGGTAGAGTTGCCCTTGAAAAGAGCACTGGGAAACCATTTCCTCCCTGGAGAGAATGGCTCATGTAGCCTGGATGTGGTTATTTCATGTCATTTCTGTCCCAAAAAGTAGATTCCAAACGTGTTTGAAGCACTCAATGTTCAGATATTACACATCTTCCATGTCATGTATTTCCCCACCATTCCCCACCACTCTCCGGTCATGGATGACGTTTGGCACCAGGTGGCACAATATTTTTTGAGTTTGGTTGCGTTGAAGCCAATAGATTGTCATAGATCTTCCCAGCGTTGGAAGGTGGTTGAATTGTGGATAATGTTGCTCGGACTAAGGAGGGCAGCCATGCTTTCTGCCGATACAATTCTAGTTTCACCAGATCTACACATATAGCTACCAGGTTCCAATCATGATGTGTAGGTGAAAACGCATATAATGATTCATTAGTTCAGGCAGCATGATTGGTGAAACACCATGAGTCCATGAGTTGGGGCCAATGAACTAACCATTTCCAATGATTTCAGTATGGTTTGTTGCCAACGGATACAGTACTGTGTGGTTTTCGGCTTATTTTAGTTGGTGAAATCTCATGTGGCTCGACACAGTTTTCTCAATCGACCGCGGGTCCACCATTTTGGTTGGTTTGGCATTCCCAACGTTGCTGAAAATGGATCATGTCACATATCTGTTTGAATCCACAAATTTTAGTGATGTTCCCAAGAATTATTCTGTTTGAAATCTCCAATGTTCATCAGCAAATCCTCAAAAGTCGCAACCGCCCTGCCGCCGCAGTGCGGGTGAGAAAGTTCCTCCAAGGTTAGAACTGTCTGATACCTGGCGCAGCGAATTCAGCCACAAGGCCTGTGTTGATCAACATCCGGATGGTTTTGGCGGGTAAAACAATGCCATTTTTACCACCCATGACTGGGAATGGTTTACACCACCTATTTATGGTGATTTGGGGGATGGTTGATTATTGTTTTATCCACATTAAAGTGTTTTTTGATTATGGTGGTTTCATGGATAGACTGGATAGCAAGCCCTGTTTTAAAAAAAAAAACGGTTCATGTTCATGGGGGGTTAAGTTAAAGGTTAAGGATATCCTTAATTAACATTGTATCCTTGATCACGAATGACATATGATAATTAATAGTTTGATCTCATCAACATGATATGTTCAATCCAGATTGTTGGATATTGCTATCCGTTGATATCCATTAAACCCCATTATCTTCCTCTAATGGATATGAAAGGATACAAATAGCCAAAAATCTGGATGTCATGATCAAATCCAAACTTAAGACAAACTAAAATGGGGCGTGAGTCTTCAAGTTGGTGGTAGTTGGGTCAACGTTAAATGTGGAGTTGACCGTCAATTCACTATGAATAATGGGAAGTTGAAGAACCTGAAAAAAAGTATGGCAAAGTCTGAAATCATCATTTTTAGTAAAAACCATAGCAAGCAGTAAAGAGTCTGGTTGATCATTGCAACCTGGTGCATATTCCAAGCCTCGTTTGGTAAACCCCGATTCCCCATTCCGCATTGATTTTTTTGTTCAATCCCTGTATGTGATTGGTAAAATGTCCTTTTCTTTCGGTCAAAATCTCAGTGTCTCGCAGCTTGATGAGATCTCCATCTCTGTTGCTTCACATGGATATTGTTCCTGCGGATCCTGCACCATGATTTTCGAGGCTGGGGCAGAAAGTCTCTACTTCACGGGCGATTACAAGTTGTGTTACTGCCTGGAGACTTGGGAGTGGAGACTGAGTTACATTAATCCGAAGGACTATGGGGAATCTGACCGGGCTTGGGTTTCATCCCAAGAAAATGTGCATTTTGCGCAACAAAATAAACTGAGTTGTTCAAAAACAAAGGATGACGCGTTGACTACAAGAACTGAGGAATCAATTTTCGTCGCCAAAAGGATGGGAGTTCACCATCACAAATAGCTAAACTGCTGGTGTTGCAGTCAAGATGATATTTCTAACAGATGACAGGCTTTGGTAAATGTCCCATTTTGGCGATTTTGAACATGAAAAAGTATCTGTTGGAAATTATATCCCCAATATTTGGGTTCAATTAGGACATTTACCCTCTGGTAATTTAACGTAGCTATGGAAAAGCACCATTTTTAATGGAAAAATCCACTATAAATGGCCATTTTCAATAGCTATGTTAAATTACCAGAGGGTACCAACCCCTGTATGACATAGATGTTGCTTTCAAAAAATACTGCGAGATATGGGTTCCACAAGAATCCTGGCCAGCGTGGCGAGCCACAAAGACCTGTCTTTGGGTACTGCGAGTTTTGACTGATGACCGACATTCTGTCACCGTCAAAATTGGATATAATATATATAATATAATATGTATATGATATGTATATAATATAATATATGTATGATAATATCTATATATATATATATGAAGTACTACTGTGCAACTGTCAGCAGTTCAAAAAGTTGAATATGATGATATGTTTTTCCCATGTTCTCCACGTTGTAAGTCCATTCTTAGATTGTTGAACTACCATGTTTCATGGTCAAAGCCAACGGCCAATGGTTCAGGTTTGTATGACAGCTGCGTGTCACAGACAGTGGGGGGACAACTTGCTCCTCGTGCACCCATAAGTTGCTTGCAGTGGTCCCCTTGGAATTTTGTTCCTGGTTGCAACTTTGACTTGGCCCATGGCGGCACAAAGTGCAGGACAAGTTGAAGGGGGCGCATGAAAGTCTTGAAGTACCCACTGCTTGGCCATCCTTGGTTGGCCAGCTTGTCGCAAAAGGTTCTGGGCAAAATGCATTGCTTCTCTGACCTTCGCAAAGTGCAAGGGTGCCAAAGTTCAATCCCCATGTTTCATGCTGTCCCTAATTCCTAGATTCTTTTGGATGGTTTAACTCCCATCTTATTGATACGTTGCGTTGGTTCAAAAAAACATGTATACTGTCTGGTTGGTGGTTTGGAACATGTTTTTTTCCATATATTTGGAATAATCACCCCAACTGACGAACTCCATCATTTTTCAATATGGTCATTGCACCACCAGCCAGGTAATACTCTACCCCAATATTGACCCGTTTCCATAGGCGGGTTCTGGGACGATCCAGGAATCGCAACCAAAAAAAGCTACAGAGTCCAGTTATGGGATAGTCCACTTGTGTCCACTTAGAGGATTTGAAGTCACACCGGGTAAGGATATCTAAGGTAATTCCTATACAGGGAATGGATGGTACTTGAAAAAATTCAAGCAATCGTAAGTGGCGAATGAGTTTTGTGGGCTTACTTTACCCAGATATAAATGGGAGAAATCGGGGACTTATCAACCAGGGTTATTAACATCCCGTGAGATAGTCCAATTTATTTTTGCGGCCCTATTTTATATCCTTTATCCAATACGTTGATGGTGAATATGCCATCTATTCATGATTGATGCCATAATCAATTCATAAAATGCCATGAAATCCCCATGTATCTCCCATTATGCAATGAAAAATCCCCAAAACGCTATGGCAGTCTGCCAGATCACCCCTTCGATTTTTCAGCTGATCTCGGGCATCAGGTCAAGCATCTTTGACACCCAGCAGGGAGTGCACACCTGACACTTGGACCCGGACAGTCGGAAGACATGGCGAGCGGAGAAATCCATTGAAATCCCTGAACGAAATGGAGCTTGAAAGATGGGAAAAACATGTTTTGCTTTTTAAATATGGAGTAATAATGGTGATATAATAGGGTAATTCAATGGGCTGTTCTACTTTGGTGCAGGCCAGGGGTTGATTTTGCGGGTAGAAACTATTGGAAATCATGGTTATTAATGTTGATGGCAATGAGGGGTTTTCAGTATAGCTATGGGATTCTACCCTCCATAAGCTCAATGGCCATTTCAGGAACTGATTTATTGGAGGTACCTACCATATATAATTCAGGCCTAAATTTCAGGGAATATCCCCACAGAATATGGCCTGACAAATGATAGGTTTACGTACCTCCATTTTAGGATCCCGAAATTCCCATTGAGAAGCTGGGATCTGGGGCCCCTTCAACACTGAACCCCCAGTGATTCCACGAGCTCACATGGCACCTCCGGGATACCAAACTTCGCCAGTTTCCCTTGGCGATCAGCCCTGAAATCCAACTACAGTATATGGAAACCAAAACAAAATCTGGTTGGTGGTTTGGAACCATGGAATTTTATGACTTTCCATTCAGTTGGTAATAATCATCCCAGCTGACGAACTCATATTTTTCAGAGGGGTAGGTATACCGCCAACCAGAAATGATTGTCCAATCACCATCCTGGGTTCCATCTTCGACCAGCCATGCCAAGGAGCAACACACGCAGGAAATGGGAACGCTGTATCTGGTGGGAGCCAAGTGCGAGCCCCAGAGACGCACGCGTAGGGCGTGGAAGTGTTGAACATTTGCTTTTCTTTTTAACCTTCTGGTAGTTTGACCGTTTGCGTACCGGAAAAATCACAATGTCTGGTAAATCACCGTTTTACATGGAAAATCACAATGTTTTGTAGGTAAATCATGTGTAAAGAGACATGGTTTCTGCTAGTCATTTGAGGTCGAGGATGGAATGGACCTGTCGCCAGGGCGCTCCATGCGAATTGGTGGTTGGGAGCCCAGAATCCACCGGGTTAGCCTTGCACCAGTGGGATCTTAACAGGACGTCCCTGTTCTGACTGGTGAAACCACCCATGGTTTCGGATGATCCTCATTGTGTTGGCTCAAAACCCCAGTTGTTCATGGGGGGCTCCAGTTATTGGTGTTGTTCCCCTTACACTCCCATCCCCCTCATATTAAATCCCAATATGTGGTGATGAATATCCCCATCTTTGCATAGTGAAAACCCAATTATATAGTTTTGGCAAATCCCAAGATATCCCCATCTGTTTGTTTATAAAGTGTCCAGATTTGTGGTGTTTCAGTCACAATTCATCTTAGTAAAAGAAATTAGTTGTGGCGAATCCCATTGTATCACCATTAGTTCAACTTCCAGTTATGAATTCCAGTTATTATCAACATTGTTAACCATCTTCTTACTGGTGCGTTTTACGTAGGGAATGGATGGGTTGCTGGGGGTTGCTGGGATTATTGTTGATTGTGGATGTCTGTGGTAGTTATTGTGGATCATTCCCTCATTCCCTGCGTAAAACGCACCAGTAAGTTGTTAACCATCTTGGTGAATTATTATAACAATTATTACTGTATATTACTATTCAGATTGCCCAATTTACAAGTATTATGTTGAATTATTATTCAGATTATAACTGGTTGGTGAATTGTTATAATTTACCCAGATATGGAGAATACTGGAGGTTATACTATATATTGGAGGTAATTATAATCTCCAATATGGTAAAACTACCTAGATTATTGGAGGTTATAATTTACCCAGATACCCTCTGGTAAACTAACGTAGCTATGGAAAATCACCATTATTATATAATGGGTAAATCCACTATTTCTATGGTCATTTTCAATAGCAAAATGTTAAATTACCAGAGGGCATGTAAAACCTCCAGTTATTCGACACCGCTTCACCCGTCGATTCATGTCGATCCAGCAGGTCCATGGCTGGCGCGTGGCTTTGGGAGATGCGATACGCCTGGTATATACCGGTGACCTGACCAAAAAATGGAGGCTGAAGCTGGTTAAAGCTGGGGCTTAAGCAGCAAAAATCTAGGTTGAACCCGCGAAAATGCTGGCTTTCACCGAGAAGAATACGGATTTTCCAGTGATTAGGGACTATAACCACCTGGTTATTAGCCATCATTAACCATATAATAATCATTAATATTAACCATATATTAACAGTATTTAAGCTTAAAAACCTGAGATTTGGAACAACAAGAATGATGATTTCAGCAGCCAAAATTGTAGTTCAACCAACCAAAACTGGAAATGTGACTGACAAGAATGGTCACTTAACCAATAAGAATAGGGGTTTAAGCACCAAAAATTTGGATTCAACTAACAACAATGGTGATTTCACCATAAATTCGGACATTGACCAAAGTTTTTTGTGGGAATATCACGGAGAAAAACGCTGACGGAAGCCACATTTTGGGCTGGCCAACCCTCTATGTGGGTTCTGGATGGTTCTGGGCTCCGACCATCCGGTCGTGAATGGGAGGTTTACGCAAAAAATGGAGGATTCACGATGAAAATTTCTGCGACGATTAAGGCTTTTGAATGGCAGGTCTGAAGAATGGCTTATTTGTTTGCAGAGGAGATATGAGGAATACGGCAGGTGCAGGATAAAGCATATCCATTTTTTTTGCCATTATGTCTTCTTTACACGAACCTTCAAAAATTGGTGGCCATGCACTGGTTTTGCCATGAAAAAGCGAGAAAAAAACAAAAGCCCTGGGGGGAGAGGCAGTGCTAATTTCGCTCAACCCAATAGTTGAGACTGGCCCGTAGTGTGGTACGAAAGGGATCACGTAATGTGCCAAAATCGCAATGGGCGGTGAAGAAGTTTGACCATGGTGAGACCGGTGCCAAAAAAAGTGCCGTTTACATCTTGCACAAGGATGAAGGTCCATGGTCCAGTTACTTATCCTTTACCCTCTGGTGAACTAACATAGCTATGGAAAATCACCATTTTTTAATATGTTCAATGGGTAAATCCACTATTTCGACTGGGTCATTTTCAATGTCGCAAACTGTTAGTCATTGCCAGGCCGGGTACCATGAAATTTGCTTGCCCATCCCATGAAGCCTTGGGGAGTGAAGATTGGATAAGGAGGCCTTTCTAAACACCAGTTCCATAGCTGCGATGAACAATGCAGTTCCACGAAAATATGTGTGGTTGATATTTCACCATAGTTATGAGTTGGTACCCCATATCCCAACTCATCGAGGTTTAAATTGATCAGCATTGATAACCATTAATGGATATTAGCGGCCATTAACAACCAATGACAACCATTGTTAACCCATATTAACCATGAAAATTGTCATGGCCATGCGATCCTTCAACATCCCATGCCCCATCTCAGGTTTCAATTGCGGAGACATCGATTATGGCGATGCATTTTTGGGCACAGGTGGGTGGAAACGCAATGATGTTGCCGAAAAATTGGACCTCGCCGCATAATATGGTAATTAAGTAAGGTGCCATTTGGGTCCTTAGTGTGATAAACCCCAAGCATAAACCTACCAGTTGGGGATGTCTTATACCATCCATTTATTGTTGGGGATGGTTTGAATATGTTTATATAGATATTGGATTTAGCACATTAATATAGTAAGCCTTCCACCCTTTGGGTTACCATTGGCCTTGCCACAGATCTCCGAAATCCTTCGAAAATGGCTTGACGAGCCGCGTGCATGGTTTTTTTCCAGCTGGGAGTATCTAGATAAGTTGGATGCTTTGAATGCAGGAATCATTGAAGTAAGTGGTTGGTGGATTGAAATATGGCGATGAATCATGTGATATTCTTTCAAATTCTACCATATTTTGGGGGATGAAGCCTCGACTGGCAAGCCATGGAGAGCCATGGAGAGACGAGAATGAACCTGGCTGGGTACTTTTTCTGGTTTCGTTGGGCAAGTCTTTGTGACTGTGACCCCCCCCTTTGGCGGGGCTTCCCACCGAAATCACAGAGTTTTGCCATTGAACAAGACAGAATTTTGTGGATTTCAATGGAAAAAGTGTAAAGAATGTGCATTTTTTATTTTATGTGCATTAGTAGATATAGTATTACTAGTTCATGTCAGCGAATATGAAAAGCCATGCAGAAAACATCACCAACCAAAATCCAGGGGAGGTATGGATATTGACCAATATAAATTTAATGAAATATAATGACCTCACGGTTTGTCTTCAGCTATTTTCAGGATTATAAGTTTGCCAGAACTCTGTTGGTTGATGATTTTCGGATTTGAAATGGGATTAAATTATCAGTTATAGGCATAGGGGTTTTAAAATGAGGTAAAACATCAAAGATACCGGGATATGATTGAGAAATGGTTGATGATTAGGTTGGGGATTTTACTACATACATTGGGGATGATCCATCCAGCTGGAAATCCTCCAAAACCACCGGAGTTTCATGGTTTGACCGGCCCAAGTTTAGCTGCAAGAAAAGCGTCATGTTCACTGCTTGAATCCCAGTGGTTCATGCTTTGTCGCAACCAAAAAGATAGAAAAGTAAGGTGAAAAGTAAGGTGAAAATCCATAACAACCTACTAAAATCAGTGCAAATTTCGCCTTCTCTAAATCTCAATTTGGGGGTTACGAAAGTTGAAAACTCGCCCGGGCCAGGCTTTGATGCAAACCCTTCAGTGGCAAACCAAAGCAGCAACCTTTCAGATGGTGTCTGGAGCCCTGGCCCAGAAACCGAAAGAAGATATTGTTGATATAGTGGGTTAATCACGGTGATGTCATGGATTATCACCACAATATGTGGAGTTAGTATTGATTGAATATCACCCCAATCCATTATTAACAATGTTTGTCCTCACAAATTGGAGATTGACCCCCAACTCCTTGCATGTTGTCCTCAGAGATGGGAATCCACTTGGAAGTGTTGGAATTGGGAGTAGCTCATGGTCAAATCTGTGCATTTTTCACAAAAGTATATAGTGGACATATGTGGACATGTAATAGTGATATTGGCAGTCTCTCCAACTATGGCTTATAGTATTTGTATAGTAAGGGACAGTTGGCCATACTTGAAGAGTTCCCTTTTTGTGTCGGTGACATCACCAGTTATGGCAAGTTCTCCCACGTTGATGTCAACCTGGGACTTCGTTGGTTGCATCGTCATTTCTTCAGCGCTCCGGTGTCAAATACACGTTTTATATGTTCAAAATATTCAGCCACTGATGATTTTAACCCAACAAAAATGAAATGGTTATAGAAAGGTGATCCCAAATTGTCATTTCCATGTTCAACCATAGTGCAAATTTGGGATGATGATCCCCAATGACTCATGTCGGAAGGTCTGCAGGAAAATTCGGATGTTCCAATTTCTTCATGGGAAAACATCCATGGGTGTCCTTTAAAAAAATGGCCCTTAAATTAATCCCAGTTTATCGTATTGTTGGTTATGCATCGCATATTATATCCCAATATATCGCCTATATCCCCACTATGTCCCCATGTTTAACCACAGTTGATCACTGTTTGGCCACTATTCAACCACTATAAGTCACCATGAACCATATCATATCATATTATAAATCACTGTTAGTCACAATCACAATTCACCCCAAAAAAAAATTGTGGATCTCCTGACATGTTCCGCCAGAGGTTCTGCTTCACTTCGATCTGGGTCGTGCACGTGGCTCGGGCCGCTGGAAGGTGTGCTTGTGTCCCTTGGCTTCGTGGTTGGTCGAGTTGTCCTGACTTTTGGACGGGCTTTGTGCGGTTACATATTGGTGAAATGGTGGTAAAATGGTGATTAATAGCTGTCCAATAGTGGTTGATAGTAGATAATAGTGGTCAAACGTGTTTCAATATTGGTGAAATAGCCATCACTCTTTGGTGGTTCAATGCTTAATCAGCAAGAAAACTGATGTTTACGGAGTAAATTCATCAGGAAACCTGTCCAAAATGGGGGCTTTGGTTTGATATGATTGCTAGGTGGATTCCAAAGTAAGGTTTTCTTGAATACTTTTGAAGGTAGCGGTTCTCATTACTCTTGAGATGACTCCACCCTTTCAAATTATGAGGACGATCTTTGAGAATGAGTCAAGACCTTTTTGGTACCTTTTGGGATGAATATCTGCAACTAACAGCTATTTTGAAGGTGAACAGCTGAAAGGGTGAGGAATTTGATCCATACCTGCCATTGACTCTCCGTCCCCTCGCAGAGACAACCAAAGACCAGATTGGAGATGGTAAATTTGTGTTTTCCACGCAAAAAAATGGGATGTTCACCATGAATTTCGAGACTTTTACCCAGTTGGGGACTCAAATGTGATCACCATGATGCAAATGCTTTCGACACGTTTTGTAGTTTACCTTTCTGGGATTCTGATGCTCAGCTTCAAGATGAAACTCATGGGAACATCCCTCCTGTCACTGTGTAGTTGCGCCCTGCCGCGACAACATTGCTGGTTGGTGGTTTGGAACATTTTTTATTTTCCATAATATATGGGAATATATGGGATAATCCTTCCCATTGACCAATATTTTTCAAGATGGTTAAAACCACCAACCAGTTCATGCCTGTGGTTTTCAATAAATACTCATTTGAGCTGAGTTTCCCTTCCATGTGGCCTTAAGACGCTCGAAATGCTCATGACTAAGGTGTGGCTTCCACAGCGCGCAGCGGCAACGGCTGTTCCCAATCCTCCGACTATGGACAAAAGGCGCCAATCAAATGGTACACCATAGGGCTCTCGGAAAACCATGGGATAACTCCTTCGTTTGGTTGGTGGGGCTTGGATATGCTTTAATCGATTGATGGAAACTAAACCATGGTTTGGACTAAGACCTGAATCCCAATTCTGGTTGTGGTTCTTTCATGAAATCTCCCATTGCGACTCAAAAACCATGGGGCAGCGCGTTGCTAGGTGGGTGAGCTGCTGATTGAAGGTCTCCTGCGTTCTGTGACGCCGCTCGGGGGCCCATGGTTTATCCAATAGTTGATATGCATACGATATGTGTATGGTTAAGAGGGTGTATATATATATACAGAGAGAGATATATATATATATAACCATATGACTATCTAACCCATGTGTTTTTCTCAACCCATCTAAAATGGTATGTGATATGGGCATCGTGCATGGTCGGAGTTGATTTGTCTTCGATTTTGAGGGAGTTGGCGATGGAGCTGAGATGATTCCTATGGTGGATGTAGGACTAAAAACACATACCACTGGTTACCACTGTGCCACTGGAAGCATAGAATGGGGATGACTCGCTTGAATGGATGGGATAAACCAAAGATGTGAAAGAATTCAGGATTTACCATATGGAATTTGATATACCCTCTGGTAATTTAACATAGCTATTGAAAAAGACCATTGAAATAGTTGATTTACCCATTAAAAATGGTGATTTTCCATTGTTGTGTAAACGTTTACCAGAGGGTAGGTCTGGAACATGGCCCGTTTATAGATGCTTTACCTTGCAAAGATGGTGAATTTTCCATTGCAAACTCTAGCAATTACCAGATGGTAAATCCTACCAAGTCGACATGGGAAAAAAAAAACGTGAACCCATTGACACTGTTAATAGGTCCATTTTCCATTTTGCAGGGGTATAGTATACACAGTATGTTTTAATCCCTGTTAACCTCAATGGTTTACCCCTAATCCTCATTGGTGATACCAATATAGATATGAAGATCCTTCAGGATGTCCTTAGGAAAATGATCTACAAAAAAGGGGGATTCCCGTAGTGCCGGCCCATGAAAATGTCCATCAAAATGCCCCCATCACTGGTTGGTGGTTTGGGATATCATGATCATGGGGATATAATGGGTATATGATGGGTATTTTTCATGGAGATATCATAGTCATTATAGAGATACAACCCTGGTTGGTGGTTTGGAACATGAATTTTATGACTTTCCATATATTGGGAATAATAGTGGTTTTAATGGGTTTTAATCCATTTTTCCATATATTGGGAATGTCATCATCCCAACTGACGATTCGTCCATCATTTTCCAGATGGGTAGGTCAACCACCAACCAGCTAGGCATCGATGCTAAGCATCGGAAAGACGACATCAATGACCATCAATCACCATCCCAACTTCACCATGAAAATGTCCATCAAAATAAGCATTTATAGCCACTAATAACCATGAATAACCCATATTAACCATATAATATATATATATATTCCACCTCCAGCTGCACCTAGTGAGCTTCATTCAATGGATTGGTTTTGTTGGGGAAAATCGCCGGAAACCATCGATTTTCCCATGAAAGATTGTTTTTTTTCCGGTTACCATCTGGTTATTTAACATAGCCATGGAAAATCCCTTATAAATGGAGGTTTTAATGGGAAAATTATCTATTTCTATGGGCCATTTTCCATGGCAAACTGTTAAATAACCAGAGTGTGAAATTTTCCCTTAAACCAATCCATTGATTCATCAGTTCATGAATTGATACCTGCTCCCCCTCCCAAGGTCCTCGCAACCCTCGACCTTAGCCATGGCGAGTGTCCTAGCAGCCCGGCTGCGATGTGGATCATTGATGTTCATACTGGTTGAATGGGATTTAACAGGGTTCTACATGGATTTAATGGGATTTCATGGGATTTCAAGGGATTTGATGGAATTTAATGGGATTTCATGGGATCGTCAGGCTGTTCTAATGAGATTTCTCCATGGATTTTGCAGATTTCACTAGCACATTTCTGACGACGTTGTTTGTGATTCCATGGGGGTCGAATTGGATTCTACAAGCTTCTACTGGGCTTTAAACCAGCAAAGTCGGTTGACGAATGAAAATGGTCTTCAACCAACAAAAATGAATGTAGTGTCTGAAAAAACAATGCATTACATTTGATAGTATGGATTATCAGGGGATATAGTGTGCGCTGTATCATATGGAATAGCATAGCAAGATATCCGCAAGTTGCGGTATACCCAATAAAATGAAAACTTAAGAAGAGCATACCATAAACATAGATATGTTTTGTGCAACACTATTTTATTTTCAGACACCCCCATTATGGATTATGATGGGCATGTTATATAGTGGGATATGGTGTTCTTTTGGTTATTTGAGATCGTGGGATATCATATGTACCAAAAAAATAGAGGGGTTGCATCAATATCATTCGCTGTTATAGATGGATAGAACATAGATGTGCAAAATGCTGAGGTATCTGACGGTATCTGATGATCAATGAATGATGGAAATCTCAAACTCAGCATGTCTGCTTTGTTCTCATGGAATACACTGGAACTCTTGATGGTCTCCGGGGTCCGGTTGTCTCAAAAATTCGACCCCCTCCCCGAGTCCGTCTCTAGCGGTTGAACGCTGAAAGTTTCATCAGCTGGGGCAATTTTGAGGTATCCGCCAGTGTGGGGAAGGCACCATTCTGATGAGAGCGAAAAAAACCTCCATTTCTGGTGGATTGTCCGATATCTTCATATCTTATCCTATGGTTTTCCCCTGATTTTAGAGGGGATTTCCCCTGCCCGCCACGTTTGATGACACCGTTGCGGGTATCCACCACGAAATGTACATCCAAGTAGCGATCCAAGTAAATGGCCGAAGCAATGGCCCAGTAGATGATGGTTATCGGGGCAATTTCTTGGTTTGTTAATGGGATAATAATGGGATAATCATTTATTTAATGGGATAATATAACTATATCTGGTTGGTGGTTTAAAACATGAATTTGATTTTCCATAATATATGGGATGTCATCCTTCCCATTGACGAACTCCATCATTTTTCAAGATGGTTAGTCAACCACCAACCAGATATGATAGAACTCACTAACAATCTAAGGATTGCTACTCTTTTCTGCCTAGGAAATGGGTTTGTCTGAAAATAGGGTATATTCTCAATTATAGCCATTTAATAGGGATAATGATTATTAACCATTGGGTTTAGGGGTACACTATTTTCAGACACACCCAAATATGTTATATTTCATTATATACGAGAAAGCGGTCTCTTCTCCAGTCACACTTCCCCGTGCTTTGTGCCCCATGGCAACGTCCTGAGAAACCTGTTATCATTCCAACCTGTGCGCGTAACCGAAGTTTGTGACTCATGGGCAACTGGGGATATCTTGGGGATAAAATTGAGATATGATATGTTGGGAATATAATGGGGATATTTCATGATATATCCAACAATATGGGATGTGGTTTTGTCTGAACATGTTGAAAAAACCATGGAAAAACTACCAAGATCCAGTCAAGTCTCATCATATGGTTCCCCTTTTTTTATGGCCAGATGGGTGAGGTACCCATTTTCAGACACACCGACATGGAAAGATTTGCCAACAAAAATCAGATGTTTTGATCAGGATCGTAACCCTCAGAGAGATGCAGAAAAGCATCCCATTGTTCTCGCCTAAACAGGTCGATGTGATCGAACCTGGCAATGCCTGGGGCGTGCCTGGGTCAAAATCTCTGGGAGTGGAGTGGAGTGGTTACTCTCTGGTAATTTAACAGTTTGCTATTGAAAATGGCCCATTTAGTTCGTTGATTTACCTATTAAAGATGGTGATATTCCAGTTCGCTATGCAAATGAAAATGCCATAGTGAAACATCGTACCTATGAACCTGATCAATCGTGGTATGTCACCGGAACGTAATGGGATAAGTGGGTCGGCATCAAGTCGCTACTGCCGCGTAGCCATGGATCCCATTGAAATTGCGAATCTGACCCACCAACATGGAGGATATGGACCTGCAAGAGTAGGGAGGGTTAAAGGATTCAAGATGGTTTCTATGACATGTTGGGATATTTCCTGCAAGACCGAAGATTTCAAGCAAACTGAGAATTATCCAACAACCACAGGGAACCCAAGCAACCACGATGGGCAAAAAAAGTGATGTTTTACAAAGAAAAAAACTGTCCCCTGGAAGGATACACTTGGGCTTCAACCAAGGACAATGGCTGCAGATTTCATCAACAATACTTGGTATATGTTTTCAAGTACAACATGGGCGTAGGGTAAAACTCGACCAAAAAGAGGAAACGTCAGTAAAATTTCATGGCTCACTCGGTTTCGCCGGTCCCGTGAAGGAAACTGCCATGATACTTCAAGTTCCGACCAATCTTCGGCATTCGAATCGAGATTTTAGCCCTCAAATATCCCATGATATTCCCAATATACCCTCTGGTAATTTAACATAGCCATGGAAAATGGCCCATTTATAGATGATTTTCCCATTAAAACCTCCATTTATGAGGGATTTTCCATGGCTATGTTAAATAAACAGATGGTATCTCGCCCATGTCCCAATATATCCTACTGTGACCGTCACGTGTTTTTCTACCAGAATTTTCCGCTGCAGGTGGCCTGTGCTGCATCCAATCAATCCTTCGAGCAGGTGGGCGAAACGGCGAAGCGGATTGAACTAACAATGACAGGGATACAGTGGGGATATCATGGGTATATGATGGGTATATAATGGGGATATCATAGTTAATATAGAGATACAATAGGTAATATACATTAATATAGCTCTACTTCAGAATTATCAATCCTATACTGGTTGATGGTTTGGAACATGTTTTATGTTTCCATATATTGGGAATAATGATCCCAATTGACTTTCATATTTTTCAGAGGGAAAGGTTGAAACCACCAACCAGTAATGCAGATATAATGGGGATATGATGGGGGATATCATAGTTATTCTAGGGATACAATAGGTAATATACATTAATATACTGGATTGTATGCTAACAGCGAAGCCTGGGGATATAAATATCATGGGGATATCATCAACATTTCTGGGGAAACGGACTGATGATGGACTGATGATGGAGGTAGCTTAATCCACCTATATCATGTTTTGCCATGGGGATAGATGTACTAAAGAGCTGTGTTTGTTTGTTTTTGTTGCCAGGGTATTTGGGGGACCTATGAAGATGAAGACAACTCCGCTGTCGTGTTTGGTCATTGGGAGGCGGCTGGTCGTTTCAAAATGTGACGATCCAACTTAAAGGGCATATCCTTGGGATTGGAACTGACAGACCAGCTTGAAGCGAAAGTTCTACATATGTCATAAGTCAACTCCAAAGGATGCACTTAATGTGTGGTTTCATGAAAAGGATGTGAATGACTGGGTAAATCTTAGGGAAAATCTCAAGCAACACAGGGTTCTGCAATCCAAGTCCAGAAGTGTCTGGCACTTTTTCACTTAAACCAACTCAGCTTTTTTTTGCCGCTTGCCAGAGTGTCTATAATAGCATCAGGAGGGTTGAACGGAAGGAGAAGCGCCAACACTCCTGACGTAGACTAATGAAATAGTGTGTTAAAAAGGGATCCAGACAATTCTTGGGAATACCCATGGAGTCTCCAATGGAGTGCACTTCTGTGTGGCATTTTGGTGTTGTTGAATCCCAGGAATCCCAGTTATTCATGTGGTGTTCGGCACCATTTCAAATTCTTATCCTCCTTGTTTGCACCTAAGTTAAGAGATATACGTTTATATATATATATATAGGTAGAGATAGATAGATAGATAGATAGATCGATCGATAGATAGATAGATAGATATAGATATAGATAGGTATAGGTATGTATAGATGTAGATGTAGATATAGATATGTTATAAATGTATATATATATACATGGATATATAATACGTATACACAGACAGTTGGCTTGTCTGAGTTCAGGCCCCCATCCCTTGGTCCATCTCGGCCAGGCCCCCAGTAGCCAATCGCTCCTCACGTGTCATCAGAGCATGCCAGGATGTGTCTCGGCGGGGGGTGGAGTTTCTATAGCTATAACTATGGGAAAGATGATAGTTGATACGGATTATTAGTGGTTTTTAGTGGTTACAAATAGTTGTTAATGGTTATTGATGGTTATCGATGGATATTGATGGTTATTGATGGTTGTTAATGGCAATTATAATGGGTATAAATATTAGATTTTAACCTCCATAAGTTGGGATATGGGCCCCTTCAACACTGATGAAACATAACCCATAAAAATTAGTGGAGTTGCACCACCAAGTAATGTAAACAAACTGGATGGGGATAATTGGTGGTTTTTGAGCGGTTATTTTGAGATTCGCAATGTGTTTGCTGATTCTTGTTGGAGAGTGTCTGGTCTGTTCTACCCAAAGGTCCAAAAGTTTCTCGTTATGTTCCTCCTTAAAGTTGCCATCTTGGGATACAAAAATCATATCATTTTGACCCATGGAAAAACGGTGGATGGAAAACGATCAGCCAAAATGCAGGGTAAGCAGCGGAGGGTTCAAATACACAGGGAGGTCATCATTGGCGTGTCTTGAAATGCTGCAACACAACTTGGGGAGGTGGAAACTTGTGAACGTCTTTGCAGACGGTCCCAAGTGCGATGATAAACATCTTCAACGATTCATTCCATTGATGTTCAACTATCTCAGCTGGCGTGAAAATACATTAGTGATCAAGAATTATTGTCAGATACTCATCTCGGTTGAGCAAAAAAATGACCCCTGCATCGCCGGAAAAGCTCTCCCGCTGGAGGGATTTTTGAGGATTAACCAGTGGATGTAGGGGTACCTTATGTTCAGATAAACCCATGTAAATAAACCCGGTTAATAAAACCGCTTTGAACATGCTTATAAACATATGTATGTATGTATGTATGTATTGTATTGTATTGTATTTTATTGTATTGTATTGTAATGTATTGTAATGTTTTGTATTGTAATGTATTGTAATGTATTGTATGTATGTATGTATGTAATGTATGTAATGTATGTAATGTATGTAATGTATGTAATGTATGTAATGTATGTAATGTATGTAATGTATGTAATGTCTGTAATGTCTGTAATGTCTGTCTGTCTGTATGTATGTATGTATGTATGGATGTATGTATGTATGTATGTAATTATGTATGTATGTATGTATGTACGTATGTAATTATGTATGTAATGTAATGTGATGTAATGTATTGTAATGTAATGTAATGTATGTATGTATGTATTGTATGTATTGTATGTATGTATATATATATAACCACACCTCTCAAAAACCAAAACCACCGTTTTTGAGAACACCCGAAAACGTCCTGAAGCTGTATAGATATATGTTCATAATATATCCACTTTTGACTGAAACTGCGAAGTCTCTCCCAGGTCATGGTCGAAATGTCGACCTGCGGACTTTCGTTCTTCGATTTGGCTCGAGACTTTTTTGTGTAATTGTTGAGCCTCAATTTGGCCATTTCTTATCATAGATGCTTCAAGTAACTGTGGCCCCAGCTAGCGGAAATAAGCGAAGAAAAATTGAGCTTGAAAAGTCCTCCAAAGTAGGGGACTTGAAACGTTTGGCCCACGAAACTCTTGACGAACTCTTCCTGAGTCTTGTCACTGCAGAAGGACATGTCTTGAAAGATCCCGCGAAATCACTTGAAGCTGCAGGGGTGTCAGATGGAGACCACCTGACTGCAGTTGTGCGGCAAGGAAAGTTAGCCTCAACAGCAGGGGCCTTTGCATTGTGGTCTGATGGGGACGGCACAATTGTTACCTGGGGCCACGAAAAGGTCATGCACAATTGCGCGGTCCAACGCAATCTTGGGAGCGTAAAGCTGGTTGAGGGCACTAGATCAGAAGGAAATTCGAAGTTGAATTCAGAGTTTGAGACCGAAGACCTAGCTGGGGCTTTTGCTGCCATATTGGAAGATGGCTCAGTTCTGACCTGGGGCGACGCAAAGTGCGGTGGCGATAACTCTGAAGTCAGCGATCAGCTCAGGAATGTGCAACAGGTTCAGGCCACAAATGCTGCATTTGCTGCGATCCTGGCAGATGGATCTGTCGTTACGTGGGGCGATCCAGACTATGGTGGCGATAGCTCTGCTGTGCAAGATCAGCTCAGGAATGTGCAGCAGATTCAGTCAACAAATGGTGCATTTGCAGCAATCCTCGCAAATGGATCTGTCGTTACGTGGGGCGACCCAGACTATGACTATGGTGGCGATAGCTCTGCTGTGCAAGATCAGCTCAGCAATGTGCGGCAGGTTCAGTCAACAAGTGGTGCATTTGCAGCAATCCTCGCAGATGGATCTGTCGTTACGTGGGGCGATCCAGACTATGGTGGCGATAGCTCTGCTGTGCAAGATCAGCTCAGGAATGTGCAGCAGATTCAGTCAACAAGTGGTGCATTTGCAGCAATCCTGGCAGATGGATCTGTCGTTACGTGGGGCGATCCAGACTATGGTGGCGATAGCTCTGCTGTGCAAGATCAGCTCAGGAATGTGCAGCAGATTCAGTCAACAAGTGGTGCATTTGCAGCAATCCTGGCAGATGGATCTGTCGTTACGTGGGGCGATCCAGACTATGGTGGCGATAGCTCTGCTGTGCAAGATCAGCTCAGGAATGTGCAGCAGATTCAGTCAACAACTGGTGCATGTGCAGCAATCCTGGCAGATGGATCTGTCGTTACGTGGGGCGACCCAGACTATGGTGGCGATAGCTCTGCTGTGCAAGACCATCTCAGGAATGTGCACCAGATTCAGTCAACAAGTTATGCATTTGCAGCAATCCTCGCAGATGGATCTGTCGTTACGTGGGGCGACCCAGATTATGGTGGCGATATCTTGGCTGTGCAAGATCAGCTCATGAATGCGCATCAGATTCAGGCCACATGTGGAGCATTTGCTGCCATCCCAGCAGATGGATCTGTCGTTACGTGGGGCGATCCAGACTATGGTGGCGATAGCTCTGCTGTGCAAGATCAGCTCAGGAATGTGCACCAGATTCAGTCAACAAGTGGTGCATTTGCAGCAATCCTGGCAGATGGATCTGTCGTTACGTGGGGCGATCCAGACTATGGTGGCGATAGCTCTGCTGTGCAAGATCAGCTCAGGAATGTGCAGCAGATTCAGTCAACAAGTGGTGCATTTGCAGCAATCCTGGCAGATGGATCTGTCGTTACGTGGGGCGACCCAGACTATGGTGGCTGTGCAAGATCAGCTCAGGAATGTGCAGCAGATTCAGTCAACAAGTGGTGCATTTGCAGCAATCCTCGCAGATGGATCTGTCGTTACGTGGGGCGACCCAGACTATGGTGGCTGTGCAAGATCAGCTCAGGAATGTGCAGCAGATTCAGTCAACAAGTGGTGCATTTGCAGCAATCCTCGCAGATGGATCTGTCGTTACGTGGGGCGACCCAGACTATGGTGGCTGTGCAAGATCAGCTCAGGAATGTGCAGCAGATTCAGTCAACAAGTGGTGCATGTGCAGCAATCCTGGCAGATGGATCTGTCGTTACGTGGGGCGACCCAGCTCCGAAGTTGAAGATCAGCTGCAGAACGTGCAGCAGATTCAGGGCACTCAGAACGCATTTGCCGCAATCCTGGCAGACGGTTCGCTAGTGTCATGAGGCGATCCAGAGTGTGGTGGCTCAAGAGAACCCGTGTGATTGACATGGATACCGCACTCGCTGGGCTTGCTGGATAAACAACATTAGCTGAAACCGTGGTTTAGTACTGGATCAATTCGTTTTGGGCCCCCTTCTTTGGGTGTATTCGGGAAGACGGTGAGCCACAATCGGGGATGGACGTTTGCACATTACATTGCTGGTTATCTTCTCAGATCCCCATATGGAGGTGTCCAGCTAAATCATCCATTTATAGATATTTATAGATGGATTTTTCATGAAATAAACCATCCAGCTATGGGGATACCCATTTTAAGAAACCTCCATGGCGTGCTCCGCCGAGGCTTGGGAATCACGCGACTTCCCTGGCGTGCTGAGCAGGTCGAAAACTCTGTCTGGGCTGCGGCAAAAAGATGCTGATGAGGACCCAAAAAGATCAAAAAGATCAGTTTTTGCTTAGTCAGAATCGTTCTAATAGCGGGTATGATTTAGATCATTATAGTCGAAGGAAGTTTAGAAGTGAAACTTCTGACAATATGGACAGTTGAAAAGCAGAGGTGAGAAGAGTCAGAAGAGAAAAGATCAGAAGAAAGAAGATGCAGGTGCGCGAAAAGGTAGGAACGTCGCGAAACACTGTGTTGTTCCAATGATTTGTGGCTCCGGAGGGTCGAAAAGTAGGCTCGCTAAAGCGGCGGGTGCAGAGCCAGCTGGCCAGATGAGAGATGAAAAATTGCACGCCGTTGTGGCGCGAAGCACATTTCGAAGTCAAATGTGTAAAAAACTGACGGTCTCAGACCACTTTTGGAAGTTGAGATGTCGAAAAATTGCACGCCGTTGTGGCGCGAAGCACATTTTGAAGTCAAAAGTGCAAAAACACAGGTTCGACCACTTTGGAAGTTGAGATGTCGAAAAAGTGCACGCCGTTGGGGCGCGAAGCACATTTCGAAGTCAAAATGTCAAAACACGGTCTCGGACCACTTTTGGAGTTCAGATGTCGAAAAAGTGCACGCCGTTGTGGCGCGAAGCACATTTCCAAGTCAAACACACCATGCTCGGACCACTTTTGGAAGTTGAGATGTTGAAAAAGTGCACGCCGTTGTGGCGCGAAGCACATTTCGAAGTCAAATGTGTAAAAAACTGACGGTCTCAGACCACTTTTGGAAGTTGAGATGTCGAAAAAGTGCACGCCGTTGTGGCGCGAAGCACATTTCGAAGTCAAAATGTACAAAACACACCATGCTCGGACCACTTTTGGAAGTTGAGATGTTGAAAAAGTGCACGCCGTTGTGGCGCGAAGCACATTTCCAAGTCAAAATGTACAAAAACGACGGTCCAGACCACTTTTGGAAGTTGAGATGGCGAAAAAAGTGCACGCCGTTGTGGGCGAGCACATTTCGAAGTAAAAATGTACAAAAAAACACCACCATGCTCGGCCACTTTTGGAAGTGAGATGTTAAAACGCCGTTGTGGCGCGAAGCACATTTCGAAGTCAAAAGTGTAAAAAAATGGGGGGGTTTGAGCCTTTTTTGACGGTGTAAGATGTCGAAAAAGTAGACACTGATTAACTAAAACTAACTCACTACTTAACCCCTAACTTCGACGACAACAGCAACAGCAACAACAACAACAACAACAACCACAACCACAACAACTACAACTGCAACAACTACAACTACAACTACAACTACAACTACAACTACAACTACACAACAACTACAACTACAACTAGAACTACAACTACAACAACTACAGCTACAACTTCAACAACTACAGCTACAACTTCAACAACTACAACAACAACAACAACAACATCAACAACAACTACAACAACTACAACTGCAACAACTACAACTACATTACACAACAACTACAACTACACAACAACTACAGCTACAACTACAACAACAACTACAACTACAACTACTACAACTACAACTACACAACAACTACAACTACCAAACAACTACAACTACAACTATATGACTGCAACTACACTACACTAATTACATTACACCACAACTACAACTCCACTACGCTACAACTACAACTACAGTTGCAGTACATCACACTACATCCAGCAGTTGTGGGTGAGGTGACCACTGCCACCATTGCAACCACTCCAGCAAACACAACTCCAACCACCTTTCGGTCAATCAGTGGATTCGCTCTGCCATCCCGGATTCACAACAACCAAGCTCTCCTATAGGTTTCCTATTCTGAAACTTCCGCCACCGCCTTGTGCGGTACTACTGGTAATTCTAATGATAGGTATGATTTAAAGATATTTAAAGGATTTCTTGGGATAGAGGCGACTAGTGACTATAGTGAAATCGTAAGTATCTCCTTCATGACAATCATCGGCGAGTTTCCCGGAAACACGGATACAATGATCAGGCATGCGCGTCAAAGTCTTGCTTGGAAGGTCCAACTGTGGCCTTCGAACGCTCTTCAACCCTCGTCTGGATTCATCTTAACATACACCAAGAAGTCCCATGGTATCCAAAAAGCAATAATTTATCATCATTTTTCTTGTTACTATTCCCAGTTTGTATACCATTTCTGGACGTTGACCCATTTATGTTGACCCAATGCCCAACTTGCAGGGCTACAACATTTTGCATGTGCCATTGACTGTTGCATCGGGCACGGAAGCTCAAGGGAGGGTGCCGTCACGTTGGGAAAGATTGGGAAAGGGTACAAAACGCATTGCTTCAACATGTGAATCTTTGCAGCCACCAGTCTTACCTACAATGTTTCCTGTGGTTGTTATTGTAGCTTAAAGTTCACAGAATATTGCTCTGTACCCTTTGGTAATCAAACAGGGCAATTCATAGCTGATTTTCCCTAGAGGTTTTCGTATTTCCATGTTTGGTCGCAGGACAGCATGTATTGATACTACCTTACTGCTTTGACGGTTCGGACATCTTCCTTACCCTGGTACTCTCCACGTCATTGCCTGATGGGCGCATATTGATCCTCCAGTTGTGAATTGTGGAAACCAGTACTTCGCAGTAAAAAATAGCTACACCAGCCCCATTGATCAGTGATGGGTAAACAGTAAGCCTTGCAACTGGCTAGTTTACTCACTTTTCAGCGAGCAGTGGAGTCGCTGACTGTTGAGGGTGTCCAGTGGTTGATCAGCATGTTCCGTAGCTTTTGAAACGGCCCAGTGATGCCCTGAGCCTTGAAAATGTGCTGCAAAATCCACCAGATTTATCCCCGGTGTCATCAAACGTGGCAAGCAGGGAAACCCCTGAACTAAACTGATGTTTATAGATGGGAAAAGCGTCTATAACGGGTGGATTTCCCAATGCCACGTTTGATTGTTTGAGGATATCCCTTTTTAGATTACTATCCTGTTGACATCCAGTAGCCTAGAGAATTTTCCAGTCCCAAAGTGGGCAGTAGCCATACTTACCAGTGACTAAAAGCGATATTCCCGTACCTAAACCGCCTTGTTATATGGTCATTAACACACGGTATTTTTGCTAGATTTCCTCACATTATTACCAAGTATCATACTACACAATTATTCCCCAACAGCTATTCTGAAAGCTATTTCATGCTTATGGCAGAATATTATAACACAAGCAGCCTACATAGATGACCCAACTATGTTATACACCATCGGAGACCCCGAGGAATCGAGTTGCAAGAAGCTCACGTTTGGTGCACGGGGGTCCGAATGCCAAGGATGCGGAAAAATGTGTACAACCAGGGCTGTTTTACCGCAACATGAAACCAACCAGCCAAGTGGGTTTATTTATAATGGTGGTATTTCTGAGGATCTACCATCCAAACCAAGAGATATCTGGATAGATTAAATGTTGCGACCTCACTGCGAGATCGCTGGAATGATGCTAGGGTATCTTATCCAGAAATTTCCATGGGGATGTAATGGGATATCGTGCTGGAGCAACGTCATAAACCACCCATAAAAATGCTGAATTCTCGGGATGGTTTACTACTGCTTTACTCACAAGAATGGAATAACATGCAATGTAATGTGATACAATGTGATATATTGGGATACAGAAGGGGTATTACCAACCATATATTAGATTAGATCATATTACATTTATATACAATAATCATGATGGGATATCATCTAGATAGCTACATGGATGGCCAGATGGTTGTCCACATTAATGGGATATAGACATGATGGGGTTATACCATCCTTCGACCCTGAAATCCCATGGTCAAGGAAAAAACATGTTCCCCACGGACTCTTTAATCGTAGATTCTTGGATATCGTCATCGCTTGGGAATTTTCCGGATAAAGCGGAAGGCAGGCTTCGACACCAGCAACGACGTTGGAGATGATCATCAATATCTTCGTATGAAACCACCCATCTATATGGCCATGATATACCATGAATATAGACATTCCGAAACCCGGTCCTTTGATTTTAGCAAAATTTGTCTCCTTTGTTTCCTTGATATTGTTCTTCCTGTTTCACTCGTTCCTCTGTTCGTCTCGCCTCTGGTGTTTTCTTGGCCTCTGCCTTCTTTGTTTTCTTTCTCTTTTCATCATCGGTGATGCCGTCTGTTTGTTAGCTCCTCCCATATTGGTGAACGTCATGTGGAGTCAGGGACAAGATGAAAGCAATGTGAACAGTTCAACGTTCTACGGCTCGACAGTATGGAGCTGTCGGTGTTTGGTGCTTGGTCGTACAAGAAGTCAGCGGTGAGCTGGCGCAAAAAAAATTGTGTACATATCAACGATTATTGAGAACACCACCCTAATGACGTCCGTTCTGCTACACCATCTTCGCACAACGAGAGACGCATTGCAGGGGTGTCTCCGCCTGGAAACGCGGGGAGAGATAGGTACGATGCTCTGACACTTGCAGCATTGTATCGCCTCTTACGTAGCCCAGGGCAATTAGATTGTTGTTGCACCCGTGTTTGCAGCTCCCGGACTGTGGCTTAGACTTGGACGGTTTTCATTACAGAGAAATGTTGTTCCAATGATTCCAACGGTGTTCCAATTTTTAAAAGCTGGGGAACCCTGGATTTTAGTCCATTTTTAGTATTAACCATCCAATGATTGGGGTATCCAATTTTGACCCCTCCCGGGGCCATACCCATATCGAAAGGTCTATCTTTTTGAAGTCGGCACTTGCGAGCCCTGTGACCAAGGACTTAAATCTCTGTCCCACGGGCCGGTGTGTGCTGCCGCCCACGGGCACTGGGTTTCTTGGTGCAGACCTGGGGTCAGGGTAAGATTGGAGGATCATCAGCCTCAATGGAACTGGCTCCGACATCATGTTGAAAGCCATGACATATCGGCGGTTGATGGGTGGACCGAATGTTTGATTCCAACTCTTCACTTTTGGACTTGTTTAAAAAAAAAAGGGTGCCTCCAACGTTGATGGTTTATCAGCAATTTCCCTGTGACAACAATCATTTGGCATTGGAGATGTACATAGATATACCATACCCAATTTTCACACAAGCGCTTTGGCACGGATCCACAACACAACCCATAGCTGTTGTACCTTTTGTGCCTAAGGATCCCGTTGGGTTTGATCCCCTATTCCTCATTGAAGCTCCCAGTGTCCCGAATACAAAGTGTCTCATTTTGCAGCCACAGCCTCAGAAAAGGATAAAGAAGTTGGACGGCAAGAATGAACATCCTGCAAAACCATCTATTTCTATGAAGAATAGATTAAAAACTGCTGCTGAACTGGCTGAACTCCCAGTTTTCCGAAATTTTGACGTGGTGGCCCTCAGGTTAACCATGGCCCTCCGTGTGGGCCCTGACCCCTGGACTGAGTACCATGCAGCAATAGGGGAGCCTTTGGAGCTGCAGGTGCCGGATGGAGGGTTGGCGTTACAGGTGTCAAAAAAAGGGATGTACTGGGGATAGAAATAGTGCTGGGCATAGAAATCATGTGGATATGATGGTATATATATATATTATGGGGATGGATCTGCAGTTCTGTAGTTCATGGGAATATATACCCATCATGATATGGATTTTAATGGGGATAGTGGTGATATGGATGGATATCTCAACCCTCGGATTCACTGCGGCTGTTCACAGCTGAGATTTTGACCCATAGGCAGAGCTGACCTCACCAGATTGTGGCTAAAGGCACTAAGAAATGGGTTCAAAGAGTAAAAACATGTAGCTACTAGTAGTTTAAGCGAGCAAAATCAATGGTTGTGGGTCAAAATTCCAGACCTTTGGGACCACAGATGAAACAGTCCACGACCACCCAAAAATCATGGGAAATGCCTGTCCACGGAAAATTAAAGGACCGGATAACCCCACATGTTACCAACTTCTTTAGACTTAGACTGACCATAGAAGAGCAAGAAGGGAAGAGGAAGTATAAGAGTGATGGAGCGGTGATGGTGGGTGAGTTTGTGTGTATGTATGTATGTTCATGTACAGTGAGTGAGTGAGAGTGTGAGTGAGTGATGCGAGTGTGGTGTGTGTGAGTGAGGGATGTGAGAGTGAGTGAAGTGAGTGAAAGTGAAGTGAAGTGAAGTGAAGTGAAGTGAAGTGAAGTGAAGTGAAGTGAGTGAGTGGGTGAGTGAGTGAGTGCGGTAGGTGAGGTAGGTGAGGTAGGTGGTGAGGTAGGTGAGGTAGGTGAGGTAGGTGAGGTAGGTGTAGGTGAGGTAGGTGAGGTAGGTGAGGTAGAGTGAGTGAGTGAGTGAATGTGAGTGAATGTGAGTGAGTGTGAGTGAGTGTGAGTGAGTGTGAGTGAATGTGAGTGAGTGTGAGTGAGTGTGAGTGAGTGTGAAGCCTCCCATTAACGTCCCCACCACCGGCCAACGTGGTGTCGGCTCGACCGAAGCCGAACCGTTTGGTAAGGACGAAGGCATCGACCTCAGTGAAGAAACAGACTTAGACGGAGCACAGAAAGCGAGAAGGGAAGAGGAAGGATAAGAGTGATGGAGGGACGATGGTGGTAGGTAGGTAGGTAGGTATGTATGTATTTAGGTATCTATGTATGTATGTACGTAGGGTAAGTTGTTTGTGAGTAAGTTGCTTCGCTTTCATCGAGTTCCACCAGGCTCTGATGTTTTTTTTTCCCGACACACTATCAAAACGATGGTGTGCTCACCATACTTCCGCTGACCAAAGTAATGTTCTGCACTCTTTCGAGCGCAGCCGCACATTTTGTGATCTCTTTCTGCATGCCCTGTGGCTGGTAAACATCGCTGGCACATGATGATGATGATGATGGTGATGATGATGATGGTGATGATGATGTGAAGTGAAGTGAAGTGAAGTGAAGTGAAGTGAGTGAGCGGGGGAGGGAGGGAGGGAGGG